AGGAAATGAGCGGTGGGGAGATATCATCTCTCAGCTTCTGCTTCTGCATAAAACTGTTCATGGAACCCTGAATTTCAGGGCAAAAGAAGTTGCCATACACCAAGACAGACCATTGGTTCATCTCGCTCAGTATTGTCAACAGAGAGACAGTGTGGTGCAGTGGTTAGAGTGCTGGACTGGGACCTGGGAGACCAGGGTTCAAATCCCCACTCAGCCATGAAGTTCACTAGGTGACCTTGGACCAGTCATTCACTCTCAGCCTAACCAACCTCACAGAGTGATTTTGACGATAAAATGGGGAGGACGCCAGCTCAGCTCCTTGGAGGAGAGGTGAGATCTAAATGTAAGAAAGAAGGGGGGGGGAGAGAAAGAATTGGTGAGTGGCAGAGCTCTCATCCAGTGCCACCAGAAGATGCCAGGGATTGAACACAGGACCTTCTGCATACAAAGCAGTGGCGTAGCATGGCTTGCCGGTGCGGGGCAAGTGTTGCACCCCCTGGTAGATTAGGAACTGGACAGTGCCACCAGAAGATACCAGGGATTGAACACGGGACCTTCTGCATACAAAGTAGTGGTGTAGCATGGTTTGCCGGTGCTGGGCAAATGTTGCACCCCCGGTAGATTAGGAACTGGGTGGAGGAATGTGCTGGGGAGGTGGGGGGTTTCCACCCTGGGACACTTTCCTGACAAGGGGCCACCCCCCCACACACTATGCTTCTGGTGCAAAGTAAGTGTGCTGCTACTGGTCTGTTATGGTCTGAATTACTGGTCTGAATTATGGTGCTGGAGGAGACTCTTGAGAGTCCCATGGACTGCAAGAAGATCAAACCTATCCATTCTGAAGGAGATCAGCCCTGAGTGCTCACTGGAAGGACAGATCCTGAAGCTGAGGCTCCAGTACTTTGGCCACCTCATGAGAAGAGAAGACTCCCTGGAAAAGACCCTGATGCTGGGAAAGATGGAGGGCACAAGGAGAAGGGGACGACAGATGGTGGGACAGTGTTCTCGAAGCTACAAACATGAGTTTGACCAAACTGCGGGAGGCAGTGGAAGACAGGAGTGCCTGGCGTGCTCTGGTCCATGGGGTCACAAAGAGTCGGACACGACTAAACGACTAAACAACAACTGGTCTGTTGGCTCACTGAATGCATAGTATACTCCAATATTTCCCTACTATTAGAAACTCACCAATAACCAGTGATAGTTCCTTTAAGGGGAATTGGGGCGGGGGGGTTGCCCCATATTTCTCCTTTGCCTATTTGTCACCGATACTCATAGCATCTTGTAGATTTATGTGCATCTTGTTTTAATACCGTGCAAGTGGGTGAAGAGTAAATGGATGGATATTTATGATAATTGGGTGCGGGTTTTCGTTTTTAATGACAAATGCATGGGTTTCTCACGGAAAAAGAGCATATGAGGCCCAGTCCAACGATTTCCATTTTGTGTACTATTAAGTTCTATGCAATTCTCCGAGGTATGAGATAGCACTGCGCCATTAATTGACTACAGTTGATAACACGGTACTTTTAACCTACTTTTCCATTTTAAACAATACTCACGCGGCTCACAAAATCCGCACAATGCAATCCATCAGAGAGCAAAATGAACTAATAAAACAGAAAGGAGAAAACAGAAATTTAAAATGTTATCAGTCCGTGGAGATTAAAAGACCACCTCAACATATTTTTTGAAAGAAAGAAAAATACAGTTAAAAGGCAGCACAAAAACACCCTTCAATGATTATGTCTTTACTGCCGGCCAAACGGTGAGCAGAAATGGAGTTGGGTGAGACTCATTCAGGAGGACATCCCATAACCTCGGTGCCGCAGTAGGCTGGGCCTATTTCCACCACACGGGAAAAATAGACAATGGAGTGCACCTCTGGGGGGGTGAAGTCAACCTCCCCGGGGTGCAAGCCTGGGCAGTGTGCATGAAGAATTTTACTGGACTGTCCACATATAATTCTGCTTTTCCAGTTGTTCTGCATTGTTTCCCCAATATTACTGCATTTTGGGCATCTGAAGGGGCACTCCTGCACTTGTTGGCATCCATCTGTCTCGAGAGACAATGGAGTGTGCCTTCTCTCCTGGGTGCAAGCCTGGGCAGTGTGTGTGGAGGTGCCCAGACAACAAGACTCCCCACTCTTGGTCTCGGTGATGTGGTCCAAAGGAAAGCAGAGCAATACGTTTGGCATCTGCTTGGCTGCCAGATAAGGGATGCGGGTGGCGCTGTGGGTTAAACCACAGAGCCTAGGACTTGCCGATCAGAACGTCGGCGGTTTGAATCCCCGTGACGGGGTGAGCTCCTGTTGCTCGATCCCAGCTCCTGCCAACCTAGCAGTTCGAAAGCACATCAAAGTGCAAGTAGATAAATAGGTACCACTCTGGCAGGAAGGTAAATGGTGTTTCCGTGGGCTGCTCTGGTTCGCCAGAAGCGGCTTAGTCATGCTGGCCACATGACCCGGAAGCTGTACTTCGGCTCCCTCGGCCAGTAAAGCGAGATGAGCGCCACAACCCCAGAGTCGGTCACGACTGGACCTAAGGGTCAGGGGTCCCTTTTCCTTTACCTTTTTGGCTGCCAGATATATCACCCACCCCTCCCCTAATACCCCATACCTCCATTGTGGCTAATGGGAATTTAAGGATACATGTCTGTCATTCATTCCTTGCAGGAGATGCCAGTGTACCTGCAGCAAACAGAATTGCTGTGTAAAGTGTGGAGCGGTTCTGACAGTGAGCGAAAGGAGCCAGCCCGCTGGTTCATGAATAATTCACATTTTTCAAAATAAAATAAAACAGGGGTCGGTGTCCCTCATTGCCTCGCAAACACTGGCATCAAATTTCAAAACAGTAATTAAGTCTCCTCCAAACAGAGATGAAAAATATCCTGTAGGACTTAAGCGCTCTATCAAAAATCTCACCCGATCGGACCTGAATGCTCTCTGCAAACTTTTCACGGCACCAGACACCAAGAATTATTTGTAAGATTTTCACAAGGGGTTTTCAGGGTGGAATAAATCTCTGAGACAATCAGGTTCCATTTGGGAACAATTCATCAGCAGGGAGACAGACAGAGTGTGCAGAATAAATTACTCTTCTGATCTGGCAATGATGGGTCACCCATAAGAACCTTTGGAGAGAAGCAACTGAGCTGGGACCACATAAAAACCAGAATGCAGAGTCCGCAAATTGAAACCGGAATGCACTTTCTCCCTCTTTCCCCACCTGCATCTTTTCCCCCGATGGAATGAGATATTTTAAGAAGAAGAAGAAGAAGAGTTTGGATTTGATATCCCGCTTTATCACTACCCGAAGGAGTTTCAAAGTGGCTAACAATCTCCTTTCCCTTCTTCCCCCACAACAAACACTCTGTGAGGTGAGTGGGGCTGAGAGACTTCAAGTGTGACTAGCCCAAGGTCACCCAGCAGCTGCATGTGGAGGAGTGGGGAAGCGAACCCCAGATTACGAGTCTACTGCTCTTAACCACTACGCCACACTGGCTCTCAAGAGGCTCGGACTAGGTAAAGACTATACATTTAACACTGAGACCCCATGGATATAAGGTGGTATATAAATTCAATAAACAACAACAACAACACCAAAAGAATCCTTGGAACTGTGGTTTACCCCGCTCAGCACCCTTAACAAACTACAGGATTGTGCATCTCGGCCAATGGTCAGATGACCCAGCAACATTTGGAGGTCCAAATATTAGCTCCCCCCAGCTTCAAAGCTCCTCCATCTCTCTCCTTATTTCCTTGCCCAGAACTCTTTCTTCAAGACAGATGTTGCTGGATTTCAGCATCTGTCAGCCTCAGTCAACATGGCCAGCGATCAAGGATTAGGGGATCTGTGGTACAGCAAAATCTAGAGAGCCACAGATTCCTCATCTCCAACTTCTCTGCCTCCTGCTGCCTTGGCCTGGCCTTCTCTGAAAGAGTTTCTCTGAAAGGGAAACACCCTTATTCCAAATAGGATTCCTCGCAAGAAAAGGGGAAAGTTGACAGCTATGCTTTTCCTCGTCCCCTTATCCATTTTCACTTTCTCTTTAATTAGGTCCCACTTACTTCGTCCAGACCTGCCAAGTATCCCTATTTTCCAGGGACAGTCCTGGATTTACAGAAGCTGTCCCAATTTCTGATTTGATCCCAGAATGTCCCACCTTTCCTTAGGACGTCCCTATTTTCATTGGAGAAATGTTGGGGCAACCCCTGAGCCAAGGGGATAAGTATACAACCTTTAAAAGACATCTGAAGGCAGTATAGGGAAGTTTTAAAAAAATGTTTAATGCTTTATTATGTTAAATGTTAAAGCTATGGTTTTCCCAGTAGTGATGTATGGAAGTGAGAGCTGGACCATAAAGAAGGCTGATCGCCGAAGAATTGATGCTTTTGAATTCTGATGCTGGAGGAGACTCTTGAGAGTCCCATGGACTGCAAGAAGATCAAACCTATCCATTCTGAAGGAAATCAGCCCTGAGTGCTCACTGGAAAGACAGATCCTGAAGCTGAGGCTCCAATACTTTGGCCACCTCATGAGAAGAAAAGACTCCCTGGAAAAGACCCTGATGTTGGGAAAGATGGAGGGCACAAGGAGAAGGGGACAACAGAGGATGAGATGGTTGGATAGTGTTCTTGAAGCTACCAGCATGAGTTTGACCAAACTGCAGGAGGCAGTGGAAGACAGGAGTGCCTGGCGTGCTCTGGTCCAAGCGGTCACGAAGAGTCGGACATGACTAAACGACTAAACAACAACAACAACATGTTTCTAAATATGTTGGAAGCCACCCAGAGTAGCGGGGACAACTCAGTCAGATGGGTGGGGTATAAATATTATTATTGCTGCTGCTGCTGCTGTTGAATAAGACGTCCCTATTTTCATGGAGAAATGTTGGGGGGTATGTTTCATTTCTGAGAGCAACTCCTAAGCTCTCCTCTGCTGCTCAACTTCACTGTGACATCATCCCCTCAGATTTTGTGACATCATCACTGCCCATCCAGCTGTTGCCTGGGGCTTCATCGCTGCCACAAAATCCCTTACCTGTTTGAGCATCTAACATGCAGCTTCGCAGAGGCCTGGAAAATCCCAACCAGCAGGACAGGAGGGAATACACGGATCTGCAAGATGCCAAATTCCAAATTCACAAAGCCGGCAGCTGAAAGGGAACAAGAAGGGCGGGAGCAAAAGAATCTGGGCTACTTGCAACCTTTGCCCTCCAAGCCTCCTCCAAGTGACCTCCTGCTTCAAATCAGTTTTGTTTGTTTAAGCCCACTGGCAATTGCTGGTTCAGTGTAAATCGAATGTAACTTTTCCAAGACCTCATGAAAACTTTCCCCGCAAAGGTCATTGACTCTTTGTCTCCAAGAAGCCTTTAAACAGCGGCGACTGGCGTTGGGCTGAGCGCGGCTTTCAGTGGGGGATGAATGGCATGTTGACCTCCTCGATTCAAAGGTGAGCAGGGTTCATGTCTTTTCGTTTGCAAACAGAGACCCATCTAACCTTTACATAATGCAATCTATGGCTCAGCATTTAATTGAATGTCTGAGGCGTGCATCAATTTGGGCAAAGAGAAACAGCCCAGTTGATGCCATTATCAAGAGAAATTCAAGATAAGGAGGAGTACGGGGGGGGGGACCTCGTGTAATTTGTTGAAAGGCACGGTAATTCACTTAAATCCTGACACCTTTGATAAAAGCTAATTTATGAAGAGGCAAACAGCAATCTGCTTGCAGGGCCTGGGATGGGGATCTTGCTGTTAATACAATCTGTCCTTCGCAGACGGCCGGGGCTGGCTTTGGAAAGGTAGATTTGTCCTCCAAACTGGGCAGAGAAAGGGCTCGACCCTTTGGAAACTTTCCACCTGCCTTGCCGCACCCTCCAGTCTCTGCTTCTCAATTTGTATTGTATTATTTTATGCACTGTGGCTTGCTGTTGTTTTATTGATTGTAGTTTAGAAATTATTTACAGACGAATGCCTCGCAAGACGAAAAGCTCGCTAGACGAAAGAGTTTTCCGTTTTTTGAGTCGTTCCGCAAGACGAATTTCCCTATGGGCTTGCTTCGCAAGACAAAACGTCTTGCGAGTTCTTGCGAGTTTGTTTCCTTTTTCTTAAAGCCGCTAAGCCGTTAATAGCCGCTAAGCCGCTAAGCCGCTAATAGCCGTGCTTCGCAAGACGAAAAAACCGCAAGACGAAGAGACTCGCGGAACGGATTAATTTTGTCTTCCGAGGCACCACTGTATTGTAATTCTTAAGAGTGGATTTTTGTTTAATTTTTATATGCTGATATTTAATACTATTCTATACTATTGTTGAATGTTGCTTTATTTGATGAACGTTGCTTATTTTAAAATTACGTTTTATTATCATGTTGTATTGGATTAGATTGTTATAGCATGTACATTCTTTGTTTCTTCAACTTGTAAACCGCCCTGGGGGTTGTAAGATAGGAAGACGGTATCCAAATTAAAAGTGATGATGATGATGAAGAAGAAAGTCCCACTGAGCCTCTTGGCCTTGCTGATCAGAAGGTCAGTGGTTCAAAACCCCACAATGGGATGAGCTCCCATTGCTCTGTCCCAGCTCCTGCTAACCTTGTAGTTTGAAAGCACACAAGTGCAAGTAGATAAATAGGTACCACTGCGACGGGAAGGTAAACAGCTCTTCCATGAGCTCTGGTTTCCATCACGGTGTCCTGTTGCACCAGAAGCGGTTTAGCCATGCTGCCCACATGACCCAGAAAGCTGTCTGTGGACAAACGCCGCCTCCCTCGCCTGAAAGCGAGATGAGCACCACAACCCCATAGTCGCCTTTGACTTGACTTAACCATCCAGGGGTCCTTTACCTTTTTACCTAGTGGTGTATCTTCCTTTAACAACATCGCTGCATGTGCTCAGTAGAGAGTCGGTGCATGGGTTACATCATCAGCCTGATCCTGTCAAATGTTCACTGCTGCTAGAGTCAGGTGTCAAATCCTGGCAGCTATCATGTGTCAGCTGCAACTCCCCGCCCCCCAAACGACTCAAACCTAATTTACACACACACATCTTCCAAAGCTATTTTCGAAAGGAGAGAAGCAGTGCACATGCGCCTAACCCAGGGCTAGACAGTGTGGTGTCCATATATATATACATTCAGATGCTAACTGCTACCTATCTGATAATGCTCAGCGCTGACAGCTGCTGCATGCCAGCTGTCAGATAGTGTCAAATGACTGGGATTGCAGCATCTTTCCGTGTCGAATGCTGATGATGAACGGCGAATATGTGCACATCCAGATGGGGGGGGGAGGACAGTCGCAGGAGTTCAGGAAGCAAATTTGTTTCGGCTTCGTATGACAGCATCGCTCAGGCCTGACCCCCTCTTTCTCACTCCATTCCAGCTCTACTCAGGCCTCCCTACCTCCATCTCGCCACTGCCCATCACAGAGTCTTAGTTCTGGATGAGGGCCTCCATCGCACAGAGCTTATTTCAAGGTCTGAGCTTGCAGCCTAGGACCACATGGTTACAATCCATGCAGCAACGCGTGGGGCGGTGGGGAGGATGAGCTTGGTTTGAAAGATAATAACCAGGGAGGCAGAGCTCCTTGCTCCTCTGAACTGTCTGCTCCATCCCTCCCTTCAAGCTCAGGGCAGGTAAATGAGAAAGCGCCATCAAAGTGCAGAATGAATGGGAAGGGGGAGGGGTGCCATTTTGTCTTCTGTCTTTTAATCAAAGGCTTGGGAGATCTTACAGAAAGAAGGGAATGAAGCCTCTGGGCAATCTGATCAGATAAATGAGCAACTAACAACAAGCCAACATCGTTTAATTAGATCTACAGCCAAGTCTGAGACAAAGACTTAAACTCAGATGAGCTCGTTCCCAACTGACTTTCAAAAATCCCCCACATGCTATGTATGCTGGGGAGGCAAAATCACTCCAGTAATTTTGTCTGGACACATTTGTATACTGGAAAGGCTGCCAGGGAGGAAAATCCTCTGGATCCCAAAATGGTTGTTGTTGTTGTTTAGTCATTTAGTCGTGTCCGACTCTTCGTGACCCCATGGACCAGAGCACTCCAGGCACTTCTGTCTTCCACTGCCTTCCGCAGTTTAGTCAAACTCATGCTGGTAGCTTCGAGAACACTGTCCAACCATCTTGTCCTCTGTCGTTCCCTTCTGCTTGTGCCCTCCATCTTTCCCAGCATCAGGGTCTTTTCCATGGAGTCTTCTCTTCTCATGAGGTGGCCAAAGTCTTGGAACCTCAGCTTCACGATCTGTCCTTCCAGTGAGCATTCAGGACTGATTTCCTTAAGAATGGTGAGGTTTGATCTTCTTGCAGTCCATGGGACTCTCAAGAGTCTCCTCCAGCACCACAATTCAAAAGCATCAATTCTTCGGCGATCAGCCTTCTTTATGGTCCAGCTCTCACTTCCGTACATCACTACTGGGAAAACCATAGCTTTAACTATACGGACCTTTGTTGGCAAGGTGATGTCTCTGCTTTTTAAGATGTTGTCTAGGTTTGTCATTGCTTTTCTCCCAAGAAAATTTTCTCTAACCCAAAATGGTTAGAGCAGCATAATGACAGCTGGCTCCATCAGGATCTCAACCAAGGAAGGGCGAGATTCCGATTCCTTGTAGATAAATTGGTTTGCTTTCGAGCTGGGAAGAGAGTTGGGAGGTAAATAAGACCAGGGTGGGGAAAGTGTGGCTCTCCAAACATGGTTGGACTCCAACTGTCCATCATCCCATGCCAACAAGGCCAAAGGAATGATGGGAGTTGGAGCCCAACCTAGAAGATCACAGGGTCCCCATTTCTTGTGGTATAGGAGATGATAGTGAATCAATCCAGACCAGTGTAATGATTAGTTGCATCAAGACAGATGCACCCTTTATTCAGGTTGTCAGGACTGTGTCCAGAGATGCTGCTGACCTCAAGGAAGATCACTCTGCAGGACAGCCGGGGAAGAGGATTCTATGTCTGCAAGCTGGCAGGGGTTCCGACTCTTTAAAGAATGGACCAGAATGCTTCCCTCAACCACCACACCAAGCACTCAAGGGATCTTAATTTTCCAGGTAAGCTGTCAGAACACACAGCAAAGGTCTCACCTGGAGGTCCAACAGCAATGCTGGAGTTCATGGTTCCAAGGCAAGATTCTGCCTTTTATATTCTTGGCAGCTCTCAGCTATGGGTCTAAACAATCCTGGTCTCTAGACAGGGCCAGCCCAAGAAATTTTGGCACCTGTTGCGGACCCCAAAATGGCTCTAGGGAAGCAGGGATGAGGGAAGATCTACATCAGGAACAAGGAGGGAAGGATGATCAACATTGGGATCTGCTGTCACCATGGATCCTGCCACCTGAGGCCCTTGCCTCACCTTGCCTCATGGGTGGGTTGGCCCAGAAGCACCAGTGGTCACCTTTGGCGAGGATAAGGCAACTTCACATGGAGCTGTGATATATGCAGAGGGGGGCAACTAAGATGGTCACGGGTCTGGAAACCAAGCTTTATGAGGAATGGTTGAAGGAGCTGGATACGTTTAGCGTGGGAAAAGAGAAGACTGAGAGGAGATATGATAGCCATCTTCAAATATCTCAAGGGCTGTCACATGGAAGATGGAGCTAGCTTGTGTTCTCCTGCTCTGGTGGGTAGAATCATAGAATCATAGAATCATAGAATCATAGAATCATAGAGTTGGAAGAGACCACAAGGGCCATCGAGTCCAACCCCCTGCCAAGCAGGAAACACCATCAGAGCACTCCTGACATATGGTTGTCAAGCCTCTGCTTAAAGACCTCCAAAGAAGGAGACTCCACCACACTCCTTGGCAGCAAATTCCACTGTCGAACAGCTCTTACTGTCAGGAAGTTCTTCCTAATGTTTAGGTGGAATCTTCTTTCTTGTAGTTTGGATCCATTGCTCCGTGTCCGCTTCTCTGGAGCAGCAGAAAACAACCTTTCTCCCTCCTCTATGTGACATCCTTTTATATATTTGAACATGGCTATCATATCACCCCTTAACCTCCTCTTCTCCAGGCTAAACATGCCCAGCTCTCTTAGCCGTTCCTCATAAGGCATCGTTTCCAGGCCTTTGACCATTTTGGTTGCCCTCCTCTGGACACGTTCCAGTTTGTCAATGTCCTTCTTGAACTGTGGTGCCCAGAACTGGACACAGTACTCCAGGTGAGGTCTGACCAGAGCAGAATACAGTGGCACTATTACTTCCCTTGATCTAGATGCTATACTCCTATTGATGCAGCCCAGAATTGCATTGGCTTTAGCTGCCGCGTCACACTGTTGGCTCATGTCAAGTTTGTGGTCAACCAAGACTCCTAGATCCTTTTCACATGTACTGCTCTCAAGCCAGGTGTCCCCATCTTGTATTTGTGCCTCTCATTTTATTGCCCAAGTGCAATACTTTACATTTCTCCCTGTTAAAATTCATCTTGTTTGTTTTGGCCCAGTTCTCTAATCTGTCAAGGTCGTTTTGAAGTGTGATCCTGTCCTCTGGGGTGTTAGCCACCCCTCCCAATTTGGTGTCATCTGCAAATTTGATCAGGATGCCCTTGAGTCCATCATCCAAGTCGTTGATAAAGATGTTGAATAAGACCGGGCCCAAGACAGAACCCTGTGGCACCCCACTAGTCACTCTTCTCCAGGATGAAGAGGAACCATTGATGAGCACCCTTTGGGTTCGGTCAGTCAGCCAGTTACAAATCCACTGAGTGGTAGCATAGTCAAGACCACATTTTACCAGCTTCTTTACAAGAATATCATGAGGCACCTTGTCAAATGCCTTGCTGAAATCAAGGTAGGCTACATCCACTGCATTCCCTTCATCTACCAGGCTTGTAATTCTGTCAAAAACGAGATCAGGTTAGTCTGACATGACTTATTTTTCAGAAATCCATGCTGACTATTGGTGATCACAGCATTCCTTTCTAGGTGCTCACAGACTGTTTGCTTAATGATCTGCTCCAGAATCTTCCCTGGTATTGATGTCAGACTGACTGGGCGGTAATTATTTGGGTCCTCTCTTTTCCCCTTTTTGAAAATAGGGACAACATTTGCCCTCCTCCAGTCTGCCGGGACTTCGCCTGTTCTCCAGGAATTCTCAAAGATGACTGCCAGTGGTTCTGAGATCACATCTGCCAGTTCTTTTAATACTCTTGGATGCAGTTCGTCTGGCCCTGGAGACTTGAATACATCTAAACTAGCCAAGTATTCTTGTACTATCTCCTTAGTTATTCTGGGCTGTGTTTCCTTTGCTGAATCATTTGCTCCAAATTCTTCAGGTCGGGCATTGTTTTCTTTATCGGAGAAGACTGAGGCAAAGAAGGCATTGAGGAGTTCAGCTCTTTCTGTGTCCCCTGTTTGCATTTCACCATCTTCTCCTCTGAGTGACCCCACTGTTTCTTTGTTCTTCCTTTTGCTACGGACATACCCATAAAAGCCTTTTTGGTTGCTTTTAACCTCTCTAGCAAGCCTGAGTTCATTCTGTGCTTTAGCTTTTCTGACTTTGTGTCTACACGTGCTGGCTATTTGTTTGAATTCCTCTTTGGTGGTTTCCCCCTTTTCCATTTTTGTACACATCCTTTTTAATCTTAACTCAGTTAAAAGTTCTTTAGATAGCCACCCTGGCTTCTTTAGGCACCTTCCATGTTTCTGTCTCATTGGTATTGCCTGACGTTGTGCTTTTACTATCTCCCTCTTAACAAACTCCCAGCCATCATGAACTCCCTTTCCTTTTAGTATTACTGTCCATGGGATCTCACCCAGCACTTCCCTAAGTTTTATGAAGTCAGCTTTCTTAAAGTCAAGAAATTGAGTCCTAGTATGCTTGGCTGCTCCTTTCCGCTGTATAGTAAACTTCAGAAGAGCATGATCACTCGCGCCTAATGATCCTTCCACTTCTACCCCACTAACCAGGTCATCAACATTGGTTAGGACCAGATCTAAAATGGCTGTTCCTCTTGTTGCTTCTCCCACTTTCTGGACAATGAAGTTGTCTGCAAGGCCAGTGAGGAATCTGTTTGACCTTATGCTCTTGGCTGAGTTTGACATCCAACAAATATCCGGGTAATTGAAGTCCCCCATTACTACTATCTCCCTTCCTTTTGCATGCTTGGCCATCTGTTCCAGGAAGGCATCATCTATGTCCTCCGTTTGGCTTGGGGATCTATAGTAAACTCCCACAATGAGGTCACTGTTATTCTTCTCTCCCTTAATTTTGACCCAAATGCTCTCACTTTGGCTTTGAGGTTCTAAATCTTGGATCTCTTCACTGGTATACACATCCCTGACATATAACGCCACTCCTCCTCCTTTCTTGTCTGGTCTGTTTCTCTGAAATAGATTGTATCCCCCATTATTACATTCCAATCGTGGGACTTATCCCACCAGGTTTCAGTGATGCCTATTATGTCATATTTAGTTTGCTGTACCAAGAGCTCAAGCTCATCTTGTTTATTTCCCATGCTTTGCGCATTAGTGTACAGACATTGAAGTCCATTAATCATTCCCCCGTGTCTCTTATTTAAGGATTTTTTCCTCCCACCACTAGGTCTGCGTGCTGTTTGCTCGAACCAATGGCTTCAAGTTATAAGAAAGGAGATTCCAGCTCAACATCAGGAAGAACTTTCTGACTCTAAGAGCTGTGGAATGGACTCCCTTGGAAGGTGATGGACTCTCTTTCCTTGGAGGTTTTTAAGCAGAGGTTGGATGGCCATCTATCCTGGATGCTTTAGCTGAGATTCCTGCATTGCAGGGGGTTGGACTAGATGACCGTCAGGGTCCCTTCCAACTCTGCAGTGATATGATTCTTTGATTTTAAGAGGATCTGAGAAGGGAACAAGCAGGAAGAAGCAGCGAGTTTTGGAGACAACTGGCAAGATGAAGCATTGGGGAGTCACAAGATCATGTACAGTGGTACTTTGGGTTACATACGCTTCAGGTTACATACGCTTCAGGTTACAGACTCCGCTAGCCCAGAAATAGTGCTTCAGGTTAAGAACTTTGCTTCAGGATGAGAACAGAAATCGTGCTCCGGTGGTGCGGCAGCAGCGGGAGGCCCCATTAGCTAAAGTGGTGCTTCAGGTTAAGAACAGTTTCAGGTTAAGTACGGACCTCCGGAACGAATTAAGTACTTAACCCGAGGTACCACTGTAGTTGCTTTTGAGGTGGTGGTGAGATTTTGGTGGTTTAGCACTAGCAAAGCCTGTCCCTGTGCCTGCTTCCTCCTCCCACCCTCAGGGCCGCTCAACCTGCGTATTTGTAGGTAATCAAATATGACTTTTAAAATACTGTAGGTCTCCAATAATCTGTCCCCACAAGGCACTTGACCTTGAAAACCTGCCCTGGAAATGTCTGCTACTTGGGGAAGCAGAGAACACAAAGAACAAGAATAGTAACTGGCCATCTGCAGCAGCCTTTTAATGGCACTCCCAATCCCTTTACTTCCTAGGAAATCGGGCCATGATTTGGGATGCCAAGAAATATAGCCACTAAGAGTAAGCCTGCCTAACACGAATAGACAATCTTATATATATAGAATTAAAGCCAGCAACACAGCAGCCATTAGTCTTGGGGGAATGCACTGTAGCATGCCCAAATGCCCCAAGATCACCCATCATATCATTTGGCACATTGCTCAAAACACAGTGCAAAGGACAAGCAGGAGACAGCAGCTACTCGGGGAAATTTCTGTAGCCGTTTGACTTCTGCCTAAAAAATGCTCTCTTCTTTTCTGGTATTTTGAATCTCATTATGCAACCCAGGCTCGCCTCCGCAGATGGGCATCCGAGGCAGATGGCTTTTCTCACGTGAGCAAGCTCCCAAAATCATTCAGGAATACAGCAGAAATAGATGCCCAGCCGTGCCAGTCTGGAATGAAGTACAAAGTCTGGCATGATGGATGAGGCCGTACCTCGGGTTACAGACGCTTCAGGTTGCGTTTTTTTCGGGTTACGGACCCGCCGAAACCCGGAAGTACCGGAATGGGTTACTTCTGAGTTTTGGCAGTCACGCATGTGCAGAAGTGCTAAATCATGCTTTGCGCATGCACAGAAGCACTGAATCGCAACCCACGCGTGTGCAGACATGCCGCTGCGGGTTGCGAACACTCCGGGTTGCGAACGTGCATCCCACACAGACCACGTTCGCAACCCGAGCATTCACCGTATTTGGAAGATGCTCTGTTGCTCAGGACGTTTTGTTGCTCTAAGAAAAACTGAAAATGCTCCTTCTCGGCCTTTTGGCTAAGATCAAGTGTTGAAAATGCTGCTCCACTGGGAGGAGGGCTACTGCAGAGGTTGTTTAAGGGGAGTTTAGGGGAGTTTTGGGACGTGGGTGGTGCTGTGGGTTAAACCACAGAGCCTAGGACTTGCCGATCAGAAGGTCGGCAGTTCAAATCCCTGTGACGGGGTGAGCTCCCATTGCTTAGTCCCTGCTCCTGCCAACCTAGCAGTTCGAAAGCACGTCAAAGTGCAAGTAGATAAATAGGTACCACTCCGGCGGGAAGGTAAACGGCGTTTCCGTGTGCTGCTCTGGCTTGCCAGAAGCGGCTTAGTCATGCTGGCCACATGACCTGGAAGCTGTACGCCGGCTCCCTCGGCCAATAAGGCGAGATGAGCGCCACCACCCCATAGTCGGTCATGACTGGACCTAGTGGTCAGGGGTCCCTTTACCTTTTACTGTTGCCCAGGACGTTTTGCTGCTCTAAGCAAAACTGAAAATGCTGGGAGGAGGGCCACTGCAGAGGTGGTTTTAGGGGAGTTTAGGGGAGTTTTAGGGGAGTTTGATCAGTTTCCCCAGAGCGGGCACTGAGCAGGCCACAATAGCCATGCTCTACCTGGACCATCAGAGGAACCAGAAGAGGGGAGAGGGCTGCTGTTGCACTCAGGTCCTCCTTGTGGGATCCCCGTAGGCATGAGATGGTGGGAATTGGATGCCATTGGCCTGACCCAGCACAGTAATTCTTGTGTTCTTATGTCATTTTCAAGGAAGGGGCTGAGTGGATGGAGAAGTGTCAGCACTGAGAGATGCGCGCACACACATATTGAGGAACAGGACCAGACTCAATAAACTTGTAGGCTCCTCCAGATACCCATATTCAGCATTCATCCTCATTTGCTTGCGCAAAGCTTACATGCTGGTTAGACTACGTCTGGTCTCTATGGATGTCCGGGATCATGCTGAGGAGGGCTACACTAAGGAGGAATGGTGGGAGCCATCCCCTCCCCCTGCTCTTGCTCCTGAATCTTCCCAGGAGCAGGAGGACAGTATAGATTTGGAACACTGGTTTGCAGAGGGGCATAGTTCCAAAGGCAGAAGCTGGGAAATACTGGACGGGGAACAGCTAGGAGAAGAAACACTGGGAGAGAGAGGGTAAAACAGATTCACAGTCTCTGGACAGCATCCAACCCCCTTCTCCAAAGTCAGGGAGAGCTCAGAAAGTGTCAGAACAGAAAGCACAGAGGGTACAAGCTCAGATTACAAGAGTGACGTAGATTAATAGGGACAGAGGGAGGAGTGTCCCTTAATTGGGAGCACCGCCATTTCTAGGAGATATGTTCTTTGTTCTCTTGCTATGGTTATTAAAGATTCTAACTGATAAGGCGTTCCTTTCATTTGATCTCTTATCGATTGCCATGGGGGGGGGCGCCAATTCCCCAAAGCCTGACAATGGAACATTTGATCTGATATGCTTATAGGTCAATGAGTATTCATCCTGCATTCAGGATGTATTTAAAAAAAACACACATTTCCCCATTAATCATTCATTCATCCCACACTTTTTGATGCATTTCCCATCACTTTCCCGACTGCAAAATGTCTTCTTCTTTTTTTGTTTTTACAGTGGATTTGTTGCACTGCGGCAAGGAGAACACTTTGATTGTTCAAACTTGGAGTTCCGGTCTGCAGTCAAATCGCTCTTACAGAATAGCGACAGTCCGGAGATACCTTGAGATGCAGATCCCGCTGTTCAGATCCGCCTGCACCCAAGGGAGGCTGCATCATTCTTCCTCCCCTCCTGTGCTTTTCCCCACCCCCTCCCACCCGCGTTGTGCATTGCAAAATGTCCTGTCCGCTGCACGGCGGTGCCTGTCGCACACTTAAAAAGGAAATTTCGCTGATGCAGCAGGTTCCACCGAAAACTCCCTCCCTCCCTTGCTCCCCCTCTCTCTTTCTTTCTCACTCTCATCAAAATAATTAAACAGTTTCAAGCTTTGCCAAGTTTCTTTTCTTTTCTTCCTTAAGACCCGAGTGCTTATTGATTTCTTTCTGGGCTATCGTATCTTCCAACTCTGCCAACAAACCGGCAGGATCTTTCAGTAAATCTGCTTACATTTCAGTGGTGGTGTTTACTTATTGGATTATTTAAGATGCATTTATTTATGAAGAAGAGCTTTAGGAGGAATGGACGTGTGGGGAGGGGGTGGTTACCTTCCTGCCCTTTCTACTCTAAATGCCTTCTGGCTAAAAATTGCCGGTATGGAAGTTCAAGAGCAGAAACCTAGCTTTTAGAGGCAGATTCCCTCGCGGATAACCAGGAGAATGTAGGGTTTGTTTATTTGCCATTACCCACTGCTCCTACATTAAAAGTAAAAGCTAGTAATGAGAATTCAGGCAAAGGCATCAGCTGAATGGTGGCAGGTTGCCAATTAACAAATGTTTTGTTGAACTGACCAGTAAAACCAGTTATCGCAGGTGACCAGCAAACTCCAGAGTCTGCCAAGCTCTTCCACTCGTAATCTGTCATGTTTCATTCTAGCTCACCCCCTAGTATGCCTGGTTGACCTCATGGCCTTGCTCTGGGTATCAGTACGTTTGAAAATTAGCCTCAACAACCCATTTGGGAAGTCCTGATTTTCACTAAAAACGTCCTATGCCCATGCAAACCTAAACAGGGATGTGGATTTTCGTAGAGTCATTAGTCCTCCATTTTGGTACAACTTGACTCCATATTTGGTAAGAGACTACTGTAAGCAGTTGAAAACACTAGCAGGATTGCGATAACACTTGTAATGGAACCAGAACTATGGAGTTATAAAGAAATATAGATTACTGGAAAAGATGCAGTAAAAGAAGTTTAACAACAGAACCCATGGAAGGAAATGTGGGAAGTCCAGAGATTCAAAGGAATCTTTCAATTGTGAATGTGTGATGCGGTATTACTGTAATTTTAGATTTGTAAAACCAAATAAAAAATATTTCAAAAAAGAAACTGCTATCGTGAGTACGGAGGAATGTCTGCTACCCTGCCCCAGATGCACTCATCAAACCGCATCTTTTCTACATTGCATTTAGTTGGACAATTGAAAACACAACACAGGCCGCCTGCTCATCAGCTTCTTTCAGGGTTGTTCTATTGCAATGGAGGTGATGTTATGAGCTTTTCCCCTCATCTGCCTCTGAACTGCTCCCTCCCTCAAACCCCTGTTGTAAATTTATACAGTGGTACCTCGGGTTAAGAACTTAATTTGTTCTGGAGGTCCGTTCTTAACCTGAATCTGTTCTTAACATGAAGCCCCACTTTAGCTAATGGGGCCTCCTGCTGCCGCCACGTGATTTCTGTTCTCATCCTGAAGTAAAGTTCTTAACCTGAGGTACTATTTCTAGGTTAGCGGAGTCTGTTACCTGAAGCATCTGTAACTGAAGTGTCTGTAACCCAAGGTACCACTGTACTGTTATCCTCTTCCTCCTCCCTGGAAGGCTACCACTCCTCCCCTGCCCAGTCCCTGAAAGATTGTGTGCTTCCCACACTTAAGTTTTCCCCACATGAGTGCATATCTGCAAGCATTTGGATCAAAACTTCTCTCACTGATAAAGTATTATATAAACTGGCACTAACTGAACCCCTTGAATATGTTTGCACTATAGAACTTACCTTGCAAAAGTACAAAGAGCAGCAAACAGCGTCCAGGCAACTAAATTCTCCTTACACAGGGAAAGGGGTGATTTATCTGACCTTTGCTTCAAGCTCCTGATCTTTTTGTGGAGTCTGTGAAATGAAGAAGTGACCTTGGCTGCTGTTCTGCTGAAGGAAAGATCTTGTATTGAGTGACAGCTTCATTAAACGAGTTAAAGGAGCAGGAGGAGAGGTGAAGAGAACGCAATGGCTGAAGCGGAGACTCTCTCTTTCTGCACAGTTTGCTGCCCATAGGCAATGATGAAATTGACCCTTCCTTCCATCAACAGCTCTTTTTTTACGGCCCAAACATATCTATGATGGCATCTCATATCTATGATGGCATCTGACAATCAGACTGAGTCAGCCTCTGCCATTCCAATTTCCTTCCAAGATTTGCTCTATACCTTAGTGCAGTGTTTCCCAAACTTGGGTCTCCAACTGTTTTCAGACTACAATTCCCATCATCCCTGAGCACTGGTCTTGCTAGCTAGGGATGATGGGAGTTGTAGTCCAAAAACAGCTGGAGACCCACGTTTGGGAAACACGGCCTTAGTGGACAGAAATCTGGGATAGAAATTTCCAATCTGTGTATGACAACAAATAATAGTCCTTGTTATGTACTGAGTTGAATAGGATCCAAAATGCAGCAGTCTGATTGGTCCTAGAACAATAGGATCCAAAATGCAGCAGTCTGATTGGTCCTAGAGCAATAGGATTCAGAATGCAGCAGTCTGATTGGTCCTAGAACAATGTAGCAGTATGATTGGTCTGCAGGAGCCACCCAATCCAGCTCCTGATGGAAGTGAATCCACAACCTGATTGGCCTACAGGAGAATTCCGGAATTAGCCAATCACGTGCAGCCCATTGTGTCAATAATGTATATAAAGCAGATACTTTGAGGGGACTTTCATTCCTCTTCACCACTATGAGCTGAATAAAGAGCATGAGATCCACTCTCGACTCTGAGTATATTTCAGTCCTTGTATTGTTAAAAAAGTTATAATAAAACATGAAATTGAGGCAAAGGTCCAAGAAACTGTGGCTATGTGTGAATAACACCCTAAACCTTTTTTCAACCTTTTTGAGTCCACGGCTCCCTTGACCAACCACATTTTTTTCTGTGGCACCCCTGTGGGGCTCAGGAGCCCATTTATGTCACCCCTTGCCTGCAGAGCTGGCAGCCTCCCACCCTTTTTCGAACACCCTCCCTTGTGGAGTGTTCCCTCAGCCTCCTCTTTTCTCCTTCTGGTCCTGCCCCACCCCTCCCCAAAGAGAGGTGCCTCCTCACAGTGCCCCAAAGGCGCCTGGGACTTGTCTGCCCATTCCCAACAGCAAGGGCTGGCGGACTCGCTGGCTGGGCTCCCTCGCCCGCTTGCTTGCTTATTCTGATGCTGCCTCAACTCCTGGCAACCAGCACCCCCTGGCCAGCGCCCGAGGCGCCATTCGCCTGCGGAGCTTGTAGCCAGGGCTGCTGCAACAAGCAACTGTGTGAGCCTTAGGGAGGCAGAGACGTGAGAGGGCATCAGAGGAGGGAGGGAAGAGGGACAGACGCCAGGGTTGCCTATGGCACCCCTGACCATCATTCAGGGGCACCCCAGGGTGCCACGGCACACTGGTTGAAAACCACTGCCCTAAACCATGATTTGGTGTGATGTGAATGAGCTGGAACAAGTCCAAACGAGTGTCTCCTTCTCCTGTGCAGCTGGGACCAATGTTTACTTTTATTATCAATAAATATTGACATCGTTGTGAGTAAGCCAAGAATTGTGTTTTTTATTTTATTTTATCATCATCATCATCAGTGCTTTTTTTCTGGGGGTATGCAGGGGTACACATACCTCTGAACAGTTGGTGAATCTTTGTACTTCTGTCCATTTACTGTACAGTAGACCCTCGGGTTACGTTACTCTCGAGTAACGTAAACTTCGGGTTGCGAAAGCGGCAAACCCGGAAGTATTTTTCCAGCTTTCACTGCTCGCGCATGCGCAGAAGAGCTCTGCGCGCCATGCACATGCGCAGAAGCGTTCTATTGCACTGCGCACGCAGAAGTGGCACCTCTGGATATGGATTTTTTGGTGTGCATATGGACGAATTAAATTCGTATCCAGAGGCTCCACTGTATTTACTTTTTCCAATCTGAACTATGGTGATTTTCTTGAGTCAAGAAAACGTTTTTTTAGAAAAAAGCAATGGTTATTATTATTATTATTATTTCCCACTCTTCACCCTAATGCCTCAGGGCGGGTTACAACAATTAAAATGCAATAATAATTTTAAAGCACATTACACAAGATTAAAAACAGGGGAGGATTGTAGGCAAATCAGGTAAGAGGCATCAGGCAAAAACATCCCTCTCTCCCCCTCTCTCCAGTGTGTACTGCAATGTAAAGATGTGTCTTGAAATGTGAAGGCAGATAATTTCAAGCTGCTATTACATACAGAGCCATAGACTAGTCAGCCAGGCAAACATGTGCTTAAGGTCAAATATATTGCAACAGATGCCTGTCCGCTACCACATTGTTCAGGAGCTCCATCACATAAACAAAGTCTCCCAGAATCACCTGCTCCCTGGAATATTCCCCACTTTTCATTGGTTGGTGTTTTTTTTAATGGTTTCTAACCCAGTAGTGATGTATGGAAGTGAGAGCTGGACCATAAAGAAGGCTGATTGCTGAAGAATTGATGCTTTTGAATTATGGTGCTGGAGGAGACTCTTGAGAGTCCCACGGACTGCAAGAAGATCAAACCTCTCCATTCTTAAGGAAATCAGCTCTGAGTGCTCACTGGAAGGACAGATCGTGAAGCTAAGACTCCAGTAATTTGGCCACCTCATGAGAAGAGAAGACTCCCTGGAAAAGACCCTGATGTTGGGAAAGATGGAGGGCACAAGGAGAAGGGGATGACAGAGGACGAGATGGTTGGACAGTGTTCTCAAACCTACCAGCATGAGTTTGACCAAACTGCGGGAGGCAGTGGAAGACAGGAGTGCCTGGCGTGCTCTGGTCCATGGGGTCACGAAGAGTCGGACACGACTAAATGACTAAACAACAACAACAACAAGCCTTTTGGGATAAAACTCAAGATTAATCTTGAAGAACAAATCCAGCAGCATCTGACAGAGTTTCAAAGTGATAAACAACACTTTGAATTTACATGCCATTCGGGATTCAGTGTGACTAAAATACATTGGATATTTGGTTTTTACATGGGGGTGGAAGCCAACATTTGAGCACTAACATTCTTCCAATTGCATGCTTTTAGATGCTGCATGTCTTAACCAAACTTTTAGAGCATGCTTTTATGCATATTTTGATGAATAAAACATAATCCTAGCCAGAAAGAATTGGAGTCTGAGTGCCAAAATCCAGGGAAGCAGCCTCCCGCCGATGTAGCTTCATCCCTTTTCACATTACTCTCTCAAGTAATGGGGCCTGGCAGTTTGGCACTCTGCCAGAGATGTCTGAGGCGGGAGAAGAGTAGCACCTCTGGCATGGTCTGATAGGCTGGTCACCGCTAATTGGAGAACCTAGGTTTTCCTTAATATGGGAGGTAATTTTCTAGCTTGCAGTAGCTCTTCTTCTTCTTTGGCGATCACTCACAGCTGAGTAAAATTGTCTTCCATGAACACGGTTTTAACAGTGAGTCTGTAAGTGACTGTGGAGGCCAATTCTGGATCCACACGTCCTTCCACAGTGGGGACATCATAGGTTTCCGGGTGGGAGTTGATCACGGTGTGGATTTCCCAAGTATGCCTTCCTCTTAGCACATTTCTCCCTTTCATCCTGAGTTCGAGTGTCTTCAAAGTCCTTGACACCTTTGGTAAAGGCTGTTCTCCAATTGGAGCACTCACAGGACTGTGTTTCCCAGTTGTCAGTGTTTACACCACATTTTTTAAGATTTGCCTTGAGACAGTCTTTAAACCTCTTTTGTTGACCACCAACATTATGCTTTTCATTTTTAAGTTCAGAATAGAGTAGTTGCTTTGGGAGACAATAATCAGGCATCTGTAGTGCCAGATTTATGTATAGGCTAAGTAGGCTGAAGCCTAGGGCCTCTAAATCTAGGGGGGCCTCATCAGCCTGCCCGCTCCCCAGTGCCGCAGTCTCCCCTCTCCCAAAATTGCAAACCCAAGACTTCATGCAAGGGCAAGGCAACTCAAGCCCAGCAACTATGAGACTCAGGGCTAGCCAGTGGGGCCCAATTTGAAACAGTGGGGCACAACTTGATTTTTTTTTTTTTGTAGGGCCCCAGTTCACAGCCAAAGTCTGCAAAATCTTATAGATATAAATAAAATCCATCTAGATTGCCCTGGTGCAATCCTTCTAGTTGGTTAATTGGTTCGGCAACTTTCATGCACATGCCGTGTGATGCTAATTATTTCCCTCAAGAGTTAAATGGTAACCAATCAGAGGCAGCTACAGGAGAGCTATGAGATTCAGGTGAGAGTCAGATGACTTGACAATCCCAGCAGGTATATAAGAGGAAGACCCGGCCTGCCCAGGCCTCCAGTTTTTAACAATAATATCTTTCATCCTTTAGAGGAGAAATTGTGAGTTGTAGAATTTTAAATACCCGTCATCATCCTTGGTTTCACTTAATTTTGTTTATAACACTCTTCCATTTTCTTCTAGTTGTGAGGGTGGGGGTGGGGGCCTCACAGTTGGAGTAGCCTAGGGCCTCTCTTCATCTAAATCTGGCCCTGGGCATCTGAACAACATGACCAGTCCAACGAAGTTATAGGCATTGAGGGACGGAGTTCTGGGAGTGAGGAGCCAGATGGTGATTTTGCATAGAGGAGACAGTGGGGTGGGCTTGGCCACATTGGCCGCAAGATACCTGCATTGCAGGCAGTTGGACCAGATGACCCTCACGGTCCCTTCCATCTTTACAATTCTATAATCTCTTTTTAACAATGATTTCTCATGGTTAAGCCTCTCTGAGAGCTCTTTTAAAATGATTTTGCTAGGTAGAAATTTCATTAAATCTGGGTGGGAAGGGAATAGATGAGGGGAACCAATGCCGTCTGAGCAAAAAAAAAGTCAGGATACTTTCTCCCTGCGTATGCAAATTTATCATCTGTGCATCTGATAGGATGCACAGGTTAAGGAGAGGGAGGGAGATTTTAGCTGATAAACCAGAGACCATTTCTTTGGGCGGCTCTGTTGCCTGTCTCTGAGAAATGGGTGTCTGACAGAAAACAATTATGGTTTCACATTTCCTTAAAAGTAGAAGGGCTGCATTTTGAGCAGATTTCAAGCAGCAAAATACCCGCCTAGGTTATTGTCTTCACGAGGGGAAAATCTTGCTCCTACACCATTGCTGTGAGGATCATTCGGAAGCCGAGTTGAACATCAATCCGTGCCTAATGAGTTTTCAAGTTTCAGATCCTTTTTATTTCCATGATGAAAAGGCAAAGTGTTTTTCATGTCCATCTTATTGAACAGAGAAACGAGGCTCCTTGATCATTATCTGTGTTCGAGATCGAGGTGCCTTAATACAGAGGAGATGGAAAGGGGAAAGCACTTTTGTTCTTTTTTTTTCTTTTTCTTTTTTTAAAAAAGGCCGTTCCTCTTAGTTATGCTTTCAGAAACCACTTCTCCAAGGACAAAGCTTTTAAGTTGTAAGGCGTGTCCCTTTGCATAGTCAATGTAATTGGGATAATTGCATCTTGCAATTGATGATAAAAGAGACTTCTGATGGGAACTGTGTGGGATCTACTGAGAACGCAGGGAGCAATGGGTCATTGCTCCCAAATACACACACCCATGCAAACATATGTAAACTTTGAATGCTAAGTGAAAAAGGCTTCAGAAGTAAACTATGAAGAAAAATCCGTACCCAGTGCCTTGTTGTGCTGGTCCTGGGGGGGGGGTGTTACCGTGCGGCGTGGTCTAAGTCCGGTCCTAGGTTGAGGGTATGGAGGCTGTCCGTCAGGGGCAAAGTGAGGTCCAAAGCGAGGAGTCAGGTGAGGTCAGGAACTCTGGCAGGAGAGCAGGTCAGGGTGCCGGCAGGAACAGGTTACCAACGATATTGCTCCCGCAACCTGGGACTGGGCGGGCTGGCCTTTACCTCCTCTGAGGCATAGGACGGCCCCGGTCCACAGGTGACTCACCTTTCCTGGCCTGGAGGGGAGCAATCCTCCTGCAAGAACTTAGTTCCCTCCGCCTCTCTGCCCTGAGCCTCTGCAGCTCAGGAGAGGCTGGAGGGTTACTGGACCCAGAGGCAACCTCACCTTCCCCTGACAGGGCTGGGAGAGGAGCACCTGCAGGCAATGGGTCCTCGATCACCTCCAGAGCCAGAGTGGATTCAGCTGGTGTCTGCTTCTGAGGATCTGGCACAGGTGAGGGCCCTTCAGGTTCAAGCCCCTGCCCCGGCTCAGCCGGCCCTGGAGGCAGGGACTCCTGTGCAGGCTGGGATTCCTCAGATTCAGCCTCTGAATCAGATTCCCAGGCCATCTCACTTGTGGGACATCATCAGGAGAAGAAAAGGCTAAGGAGTAAACTCAATTCCCTAAGATGAAGTCCCTAAGATGGTTGGATGGTGGCTTGTATGTCTCCTTCCAGCAACTCCTGCAGCCAAGCTAGTGCCAAATGTATTGATCCACTTTCCTTTGAACCACATCACTGGGACCTTCATACACACTGCCCAGGCTTGCACCCCGGAGAGATCACTACTAATGCAGCAGCCAAAGGAGGTGCTGTGATTCTCCAGCAGTATGACTTCACCCCCAGAGGCACACTCCATTGTCTCTCAAGACAGACAAGATGCCAACAACGCTATTGTGCTTCTTCTTTGGCGACACTCGTAGCTGAGTAAGATTGACTTCCATAAAAACGGTTTTAACAGTGAATCCGTAAGTGACTGTGGAGGCCAATTCTGGACCCACACATCCTTCCACAGTGGGGACATTGGTTCCCGAGTGGGAGTTGATAACGGTGCCGATTTACCAAGCATGCCTTCCTCTTAGCGCATTTCTCCCTTGTGTTCTGAGTTTGAGTGTCTTCAAAGTCCATGACACCTTTAGTAAAGGCAGTTCTCCAACTGGAGCACTCACAGCCCAGTATTTCCCAGTTGTCAGTGTTTATTCTACATTTATTTAGATTTGCCTTGAGACAGTCTTTAAACCTCTTTTGTTGACCACCAGCATTACGCTTTCCATTTTTAAGTTTGGAATAGAGTAGTTCCTTGGAAGACGATAATCAGGCATCAGAACAACATGACCAGTCCAACAAAGTTAATGTTGAAGAATCATTGCTTCAACAATCTCAAGTGAAGAGAGAACTGCCTTTTGTACATTTGATTGTTTGCTAATGGGCAGTTGAAGAGTCTAGCTGGCTAGAATGTTTCCTTTCACATAGTTGGTGGCCAAGACCTATAACACTGTTAGGACCATTCTAAAGATAAAATAGTTTGAGAATTTTGCCAAGAGAGACAGAAACCTGGTTTTGCAATGTCTAGAAGAAGGAACAGGGAGGGGGGCTCTTACTGGTTGATGTCTTGCTTTAGGGGAAGTGATGCAGCTTCTTAGACTAATGCCATCTGTCTGGGTGCTACCTTAGCCGTGCTCAGCTTGCAGATTTGTAAACAAACAGATGCCACCAAAATGCCATGAGTCTCCTTCCAAGCAAAAAGACCCTGTAGCGATTGCCCCAGAAATTTCCTTTCCTTAGGAAAGTGGAGAATCACATGTACCTCGGGATATTTGTACGAATTATCCAAATGGCAGATGACCCACTTCTTCCAACCTCCTGCCAAAAAAAATGTGTTCTACCTAGCATGTGACAATAGGCTTAGACCTATGGTAACTTGCTGGTAGGAGTTTGCATCTTATCTTACACCCCTTCCTCTATTTCAAACATCTGAGCCTTGGCTCTGCCGTTGGTTGGATGAAGGCAAAGGCGGTAGGTCTCATTTGAGCTCAGATTTTCATGGTGCTCCACCAAAGTCTGTGGTATCACAGGAAGTCCAAGGAGGAGGCTAATATAAGAATTATTTGTAAAAACCTATGTGGACATGGCAAAGATGACAGCAAAGAAGAATTCAAGGGATCTGGAAAGAGTTCCATTTGATTTGGAAAAAGAAACTCCCTATTTGGACAATGTGGAAATATTATACGTTAAATGGAATCACAGGCAGGACTAAATTATGAGCAGGACAGGAGGTAGAAAGTAAAGAATAATAGTAATGAAAGAATTGTGGAATAGATAACAATAGATGCAGCATAGAAGGGTGGGGAATACCAACAGCATGGAAGAAGGGTGGGAAGTCAACTTTTAAATCGTGTATTAAATTTGATAGTAAATTTGATGTTCATTTGTTTACAAAATTGAAACTTAATAAAAAATTAATTGACAAAAAAAAAGGAAGTCCAAGGAGGGATGTGCTGGTCCTGGGGGCTAACCGAGAGGCGAGGTCCGAGTCCAGTCCGAGGTCGATGGTGCGGTATGGAGGCTGTCCGTCAAAGCTGTAGCTGGGTCCAAGGCGGGGAGTCGGGTGGGGTCAGGAACTCTGGCAGAAGAGCAGGACAGGGTGCAGGCAGGAACAGGCTAGCAACAACGTTGCTCCCGCAACCTGGGACTGGGGCTGGCCGGCTTTTATCTGCCCTGAGGCATAGGGTGGCCCCGGTCCACAGGTGCCTCGTCTCTCCTGGCCTGGAGGCGAGCACTCCTCCTGCGGGAACTTAGTTCCCTCCGCCTCTCTTCCCTGAGCCTCTGCAGCTCAGGAGAGGCTGGAGGGTTACCGGACCCAGAGGCAACCTCCTCTTCCTCTGACGAGGCTGAGAGTGGAGCACCTGCAGGCAATGGGTCCTCCATCGCCTCAGGAGCCAGAGCAGACTCAGCTGGTGCCTGCACCTGAGGATCCAGCACAGGTGAGGACCCTTCAGGCTCAAGCCTCAGCTCAGCTGGTTCTGGAGGCGGGGACTCCTGTGCAGGCTGGGATTCCTCAGCTTCAGCCTCCGAGTCCAAATCCCAGGCCATCACAAGGGACCTTCTTTCAGTTTCCATTGTGTCCCAAAAAATAAAGTTGTGGTCAACTTTGTGTCCTGGATTCTAATGCCCTCCCCTTTGCCATCTTTTCTCTCTGCCACCCTCTTTCCTCCCACTTTTTCCTCTCCTTGCCAGCAACATGAAATTAAGTGACCTTTAGGCTGCAGGTTGCTCACCCCTGCTTTCTACCTCCACTCTTGGAAGCTGTAAAACTTTGAAAATCTGTTGCTGGGAATTGTAAGAAGAGAGAGTGCTGTTGCATTCAGGTCCTGCTCATGGGTCTCCATATATATATATATATATATATATATATATATATATATACACACACAGTTGTACCTCAGGTTACATATGCTTCAGGTTACATACGCTTCAGGTTACAGACTCCGCTAACCCAGAAATAGTGCTTCAGGTTAAGAACTTTGCTTCAGGTTAAGAACAGACCTCCAGAACGAATTAAGTACTTAACCCGAGGTACCACTGTACATATAATTAAGTTTTCAATTTTGCATCTCAAAATAAACATCTTGCATTATACCATACATTCAGTGACTTCCCTCCTTCGCCTTCCATGGTTCATTTAGGTTATCCACCATTCCTGCATATTTTGCTATAACCATCTAATGCAGTTCTCCTATCTCCTATCTGACATCACTGAAATGCTCATGGGTTTCCGACAGGCAACTGGCTGGCCAATGTGAAAACAGGAGGTTGGATGGGGCAGAGGCGTCGCAAGGTGGGTGCGGTGGGTGAGGTATGCCCCAGGTGCCACCTCCGAGGGGGGTGACAAAATGTGGTGCGGCAGTCAACCTGACCTTGCTCCGCCACTGCACACTGAATGGCACCCCGGCGCGATCGCGGCTACGCTGGATTGCCCTGTCCCCAGATGCACAGCATTCCGCTGCTGGAATGAGATGGTCCTTTGATCTGATTCGGGAGAGATCTTCTTCCTGTGTTCTTAAGGCCGCAACCATTCCTAATTCAGCTCTTGCTTATTCTCAGGGGCAAGGAAATGGGCTGGGAGCTCTGGGTGTAGAATTGACTAGTTATAGGGTGGCCAAATCACTGCAGATGGTGACTGCAGTCACGAAATTAAAAGACGCCTGCTTCTTGGGAGAAAAGCCATGACAAACCTAGACAGCATCTTAAAAAGCAGAGACATCACCTTGCCAATAAAGGCCTGTATAATTAAAGCCATGGTTTTCCCAGTAGTGATGTATGGAAGTGAGAGCTGGACCATAACGAAGGCTGATCGCCGAAGAATTGATGCTTTTGAATTATGGTGCTGGAGGAGACTCTTGAGAGTCCCATGGACTGCAAGAAGATCAAACGTATCCATTCTGAAGGATATCAGCCCTGAATGCTCACTGGAAGGACAGATCCTGAAGCTGAGAATCCAATACTTTGGCCACCTCATGAGAAGAGAAGACTCCCTGGAAAAGACCCTGATGTTGGGAAAGATGGAGGGCACAAGGAGAAGGGGACGACAGAGGACAAGATGGTTGGACAGTGTTCTCAAAGCTACCAGTATGAGTTTGACCAAACTGCAGGAGGCAGTGGAAGACAGGAGTGCCTGGCGTGCTCTGGTCCATGGGGTTACGAAGAGTCGGATACGACTAAATGACTAAACAACAACAACAAGGGTGGCCAAAATCCAGGACATTTGTTTTAAAGTGTAAAATTTTCCCCGGATGGACATGTAGGCTCCCCAAAAAGAAGACATATCTTGGAATTCCCAGACATATGGCAACCCTAACTAGTTATCGACAACCAAAAAAGAACCAATGTAAACAGGCCTGCCAAGAAGGACTTAACTGGTACAAAAAAAATTATCTGAGAATTTGGCTTGAGGCAAATGCAGAAGAAAGTGGGAGGGGGGGTTAGAGATAATAATTTTGCTTATGTGGCTGCCTTGTGCAAGTATGAGTTCTCTAAAGCGCATTCTTTCTCTAAGCCCGTTTCCCAGTGGAAATGATTGTTCATTCTTTCATCCTCATGCTTGACTGAGGTTCTTAATTACCACTGGGGAGTTAAGTTCATTATCCCCTCTTCTCTGCATGCTTTTAATAATACCAACTTCAACCAAACAAGGCTAAAAATGAGCAAACGGAAAGCTTTCCCCCTGCTTTTCATTCCTGCAGCTCTACATAAAATTCTGGACAACAAGGGTGGTTTACTGCGGCAGGTGGCTTGAGTGACGAAAAGGATAAAAACATTCCCTTATTTATTCACCAACTCTTATATATGAGCTAGTCTTGCTCAGCAGTGTTTGCAAGTTACCTAGTCCTCATCGTCCAGCCCGCATAGAAAGGGGGGAAGGAACTATTTGGAAGGAAGGCAGCCCTCTGCAGAACCACCAGCAGCAACACACACACACACACACACACACACACACACACACACACAATCCTTGTCTTTGCCCCTGCTGAAAATGACAAGGGCGACACCCAACATTCCTGATCAAACTTCTGCTCATACAATGGGATTTCCCCTTCTTCACACACACCCCATAGGAGCCAACGCCAGGGGGTTGTGGGTGCTTGGGCACCCACTATAATATAATTGTGGGAGCTGAACACCCACAAAGTCAATGAAAAAAGCCAGCAGGGAGAGAAAAAGTTCGCCTCTGTCCTCCGCAGCCACCAAGCAAAGCAACCTTTTGTGGGAATGTTAAGGATGGCAGGAGAGGATATATTGATTAAATATGATCCTTCCTTCCTTCAGTCACGCTAGTGAGTCATGTAGCAGAGCAGATTTCCCTCAAAATGAAGCTAGTTTGCAGATTCATTTGAATTTCTTCAATGGGCGGGGTATAAATAAATTATTATTATTATTATTATTAGTAAGCAATCCTCTCTGACTTGATCAGACTGGATTATTCCTGTTGTCCCCTTTGATTCCTCTTAAAAGAATAAAGACACAAGGCTCTTTCCTTAAAAGTAACAAGAAGTTTACTCACATGCAGTTCACAGTATGATCCCTAAAGGGCAGACTTTAGCTTGTAGTTACATAACAAACTGAAGGAGCATCTCCACCTCCATCATTCTACCCAGACACAGAGGTCCAGCACCGAGGGCCTTCTGGCGGTTCCCTCACTGTGAGAAGCTAAGTTACAGGGAACCAGGCAGAGGGCCTTCTCGGTAGTGGCACCCGCCCTGTGGAATGCCCTCCCACCAGATGTCAAAGAGAACAACAACTACCAGACTTTTAGAAGACATCTGAAGGCAGCCCTGTTTAGGGAAGCTTTTAATGTTTGATGCATTACAGTATTTTAATATTTTTTGGGAAGCCGCCCAGTGTGGCTGGGGAAGCCCAGCCAGATGGACAGGGTATAAATAATAAATTACTACTATTATTATTATTATTATTATTATTATTATTATAAACTGAGTTCATCTCATATGGAGACTGAGGTCGTGTGCTGCTGGCTGAGAGCCAGCAGACAGCAAAAATCCATTAAGAGAACAGCATCAAGAGAAGAAAATGGCTGCATGAGAGCAGCATGGCAGCAAGAGAGAAAGATGGCTGCTTGACTTGGCTCTTTTATGGAGTCAGCCAGGGTCAGGCCCATCTTCCTGGTCACATGCAGGGGGAGGAGGCTCCAGACCAGTGGAACAGGAAGTTATACTGGCTGGCATAACTTCTCCCTGCCTGTGCCCACTCTAGGGAAACAAGGGATGTTTGTTTGACTGCTTCAGTGGATTACATCCCACACCTTTTCCAGGTGTGGGACTCAGATGCGGTGGCACAGCCTCTCTGCCTATGAGTCCGAGTCTCTCCCACGGAAAAGGGTGCCTCGCTGGTTGCAGATAGGAGGAGGAAAAGTCAACGCTGGCCATCGCAACGTGGGCACCCACAATCCTGAGGGCGAGATAGCACACACACACACACACACAGCCTCCTCCCCACCAAATCTGCCCCCTTTTCACACCAGATTATTTGGGGTTGCAGAGGGAAGAGACCTGTTCTGCCTACTGTGCCAGCTGCAGGTGGACGGCATGGGATTTCCAGGTTCCTCCTCGTCATATTGAAATTGGCACACTTTATCAGTTTCCCCAGTTTTCTGGGTGTTTCCCAAACCTGGGTCTCCAGCTGTTTTTGGAATACAGCTCCCGTCATCCCTAGCTAGCAAGACCAGGGGTCAGGGATGATGGGAGTTGTAGTCCCAAAACAGCTGGAGACCCAAGTTTGGAAAACCATGCAGTCTATCCTCAGGGCTATGGTGGGGGAAGGTTAGTTTCTTTCGCTATTGCTTAAATAAAATCCTTGCAGCAAAGGTTGGATCAGGTGCGGCTAGAGGGAACTGCAATTGATGGTGATAGAAGAAGAAGAAGAGGAGGAGGAGGAAGAGGAGTTTGGATTTGATATCCCGCTTTATCACTACCCAGAGGAGTCTCAAAGCGGCTAACATTCTCCTTTCCCTTCCTCCCCCACAACAAACACTCTGTGAGGTGAGTGGGGCTGAGAGACTTCAGAGAAGTGTGACTGGCCCAAGGTCACCCAGCAGCTGCATGTGGAGGAGCGGGAAGCGAACCCATAGCTGTCAACCTTCCCTTTTTTTTGCAGGAAATTCCCTTATTCCAGTGTTGTTTCCCACTGCTATCCTGAATTGTTAGATATCCCATAGACTGTCCCTGGGACAGGTGAGGCTGCTGATCCCTTATTTTCAAATCTGAAAGTTGACAGCTATGCGTGACAGCCAGATTATGAGTCTACCGCTCTTAACCACTACACCACACTGACTACTTACCTGTCTCCTCCGCCCTCCTCCTACTTCCACCTACCTTCCACTATTTCTGCAGGGTGGGAGTAACAATAAGAAAGTAAACACGTTGTGTAATGACAGATCCGCCTTTCCACATCCCAGGGCCCTCCAGATTTTATTTTATTTTTAAATTGACTACAGCTTCCATCAGCCCCAATCAGCAAAGGACACCAGGCTGGGCAAGACCATAATGTGTTTAACTGGGAAATATGGATCAGAGAAATATAGCCCAGGCACAATGGCAGAAAAATCAGCAAGGCTCCTGAGCTTGCATCTATTGGTGCTCTGGTATCTCTCTAACAACCCTACCTGTCTCCTAGGCAAGCGTCTCGTCAGATGAAAAGAAATGTGCTCCTTAACACCCCTGTCCTTTTGAAATAGGAAGCTTTGCTGCCTCTAAATAATCAGGACAAACCTCCATGTCTCCATTGTGAGATCATGAGTGACATCATAGGCTGCCACCCCTCCTTCCCCCAGGTAACAATACTTATTAAAATTCCAATTACAAGCTCAGCAGGCAGGAGAAAAAGAAGAAGAAAACCTGGGGCTGCTTTTTTTCCCCCTTGGCAGAAGTGTCCGGCCCCTTTCAATGATGCAAAACTATTCATTCTGGAGGAAACCCAGTTCTTCAGTAAACTATTTCACTCTGCTAAAACAACCCAGCTCCTGTAAGTTCCAAGGCGTCCATCGTAATTATGATTCAGTTGTTTGGCTTTCACCTTATTGCTTATGTATGAGCGACGCTTTGGTCTTATTCTGTTTCTGTTAGAAGGATGCACCTTACTGCGCGCCCCCCCCAATAAAACAACGGCTCATAATAGCCAGGGCTGTACAGTGGTACCTCGGATTATGAATAGGATCCGTTCCAGAGGTCTGGCTGGATTCCAAGGTTTTCGCAACCTGGGGATCATTGTTATACGCATGTGCACGGCGGTAGGCCGCTTCTGCGCATGCGCACACCACAAAACCCGGTCAAACCTGAGGGTTGCGTAACCTGAGGTGCTACTGTATTGATGAGCTGTTTTTTACATTGAGATGTAAGTATAATGGGGGTGGTTCATTTTTCCTTTGGCTGCTTTGTCCTTTGTGTCTGATACAACGATTGCCTTTTTTTCCAAAAAAAGACAAACATTCATCACTAATAATAATAGAACTCTGGAAGAGGCTGATAAGGCAACAAGACTTTAGCGGTTGCGTGCGTATCAATTACAAATGGCTGACTTTGCAGGCTCAAAAGCATTCCCATCTCCCAAAGGCATTTTCTGCTTTAAAAAGAAAATGGCAGTAGTCAGGTTAAGCAAGCAAGACATTAATAATCATAGTGTTATAAGAATTTAAGGTCTCAAATATATAAATTAAATGTTCATAAATGTACAAGGCAAACACATACATAAGTATATAAACCATGTGTCTGAAATAGTACAGGAGAACAATCCTGAAACCATTTTGACTCTCCCAGTGACCTCAAATATTCCTCTGCAGTGAGGAAAGAAATGAGAAAAGCCTCCCCATTGTCTCTTTGCTCACAAATCCTGTCTTAAGGACATATTTGTGTAGGAATAGGGTGAGCCTGTGACCTGGATTCAGGAACTAAGTATTTAGCATCTCAAAAGGAATGGTCAGGCTGCCCAAGTAAAGCAATCAGTGACCATTATCAGGTATCATGACAAACAGGATTTGGGTTGGAGACCGCCTCCTTCAGTGATGTATGTATGGTGTTTTGGGGGGTTGTCTTGAGCTAGAGGGTGGGCAATTTCAGAAGTCTGTATAAGGGCTTGCGCACCATTCTTCAGGGTCCCTCCTGCCTCCTGCGTGTGGTGAGTGAGGACCCTGTTGCAACAGTTAATGAAGATCAGACTTGCTAGCTGCCTTACTTCTCAATATTCTTTGGTTGGCCTCTGTTATCTTCTCCTACCGATAGAGAACCTACATAAGGACTCTATACGGGCTCTTGAATACCCCATAAGGGAAAGGGAGCAGTTTTGTCTTAAAACCATAGCCGACATAAGCGTAACTGAAAGATGGGATGACCATGATGGGGAGCAGGAAGAGTCCACTGTCAATCACACTGGGCAAAAGGAGTTCTGGCTGCAGAAGGTGTTGTTGAGATTGAACAAGAGAGGAAAAGAGGCTTCCATGACGATGGAAAAGGTGCGTAAAGGAAAATCCACTAGCTCTCATCAATAGGGAAGCAACCAGTTTGACAGCCACCTCAAGCATAATGTAAAAATACAGAGAAAGAGAGAGATTTCAGTATCCAAGAATACACCAAAGGAAGTGAATTTGTTATGGGTACATATATGATTCTGTTTAGCAGTGTCTAGGGATGTGGGTGTCACTGTGGTCTAAATCACTGAGCCTCTTGGGCTTGCTGATCAGAAGGTCGGTGGTTCAAATCCCCGCGATGGAGTGAGCTCCCATTGCTTGGTCCAGCTCCTGCCAACCTAGCAGTTCAAAAGCACCAGTGCAAGTAGATAAATAGGTACCGCTCCAGCGGGAAGGTAAACAGTGTTTCTGTGTGCTCTGGATTCTATCACTGTGTTCCGTGGCACCAGAAGCAGTTTAGTCATGTTGGCCACATGACCCGGAAAGCTGTCTGTGGACAAACGCTGGCTCCCTTGGACTGGAAGCAAGATGAGCCCCACAACCCCATAGTCACCTTTGACTGGACTTAACTTTCCAGGGGTCCTTTATCTTTACCTATGTTAGACTTTTACCTCTACCTATTTTAGACTCGGGTGGCACTGTGGGTTAAACCACAGAGCCTAGGACTTGCTGATCAGAAGGTCGGCGGTTCGAATCCCTGCGACGGGGTGAGCTCCCGTTGCTTGGTCCCTGCTCCTGCCAACCCAGCAGTTCAAAAGCACATAAAGTGCAAGTAGATAAATAGGTACCGCTCCAGCGGGAAGGTAAACGGTGTTTCTGTGTGCTGCTCTGGTTCACCAGAAGCGGCTTAGTCATGCTGGCCACATGACCCAGAAGCTGTACGCCGGCTCCCTCGGCCAATAAAGCGAGATGAGCGCTGCAACCCCAGAGTCGGTCACGACTGGACCTAACGGTCAGGGGTCCCTTTACCTCTTATGTTAGACTGTAAGCCAGTTTACTAATGTGTCCAGCACAGCACCATTTTTAAGATTATTATTTAGGCAATAACCCCAAGTTTCTGAGTTGGCAAAGTGCCCTGGGTGATGCGTGACATAGGTTCAAGGCCGCGCTGGGTCACTGATCTGGATCATCAGCTGTCGTGCCTAAAAATCCACTTCTTTTTCTTCTACAACAGCTCATCAGATCAGACCATCGACTGAGCAAGGGATGGTCGTGTTTTTTACCCGGAGGTTTCCTGTGGTGAGCAATGTTGAGAGTGATGTTTGAGCCTCAAATCCAGCCTTGCAGTTCTCCTTGAAGGCAGACCCCCTTGCCTTATTTGAATGCTTAATCTGCATACCGAGGCAGCCGCTCCAGGGTTATGCAAATTCCTGAAGCAGATGGTTGCGGCTGAGCTGCAAATAACAAAGCAAAGGATGAAGTGGAACATTCTGAAACTGGCGCTGTCAGGGGAATGCCTTTGTTTGAATTTCATATTTTGAAACGTGACAGGCAAGAGTGCCTTGCACATTCGACAGGTAGGTTTAGGCAGCAGGTGGAGTGATGGTGGAAAGAGAATTGAGGTTGGGGTGGAGCTATTTTCCTATCTGAGATTATTATTATTATTTTTAAAAAGATGTTTTTATTTGTTTTTTCAAATATAAATGTATAACACAAGCAAACACATTTCCCACATCCCCCTCATTTATAACACATATACCTCAGGTTACATACGCTTCAGGTTACATACGCTTCAGGTTACAGACTCCGCTAACCCAGAAATAGTACCTCGGGTTAAGAACTTTGCTTCAGGATGAGAACAGACATTGTGCTCTGGCAGCTTCAGGTTAAGAACGGACAGTTTCAGGTTAAGAACGGACCTCCGAAACCAATTAAGTACTTAACCCGAGGTACCACTGTACAGAGATTTCTCTGAATCTCAAGACCTCCCCCTCCCCTCCGTGGGTCCTAATGTAAACGTTTTCAGCTGCATATTCTATCACAGTCTATATTTTGTATCTCTCCATATTGTCCACAGTATTTGTTACATTACAAGTGTTGTTAAAACCCTGCTAATGTTTTCATCTGCTTACAGTGGCCTCCTAAATAAATTATATTTTTCCCCCATTCTTTCTTGAAGTTTTTGTCATCTTGGTTCCTGAGCTTTCTGGTCAGTTTTGCCATTTCAGCGTAATCCATCAGCTTAGTTTGCCATTCCTCTCTGGTAGGGACTTTGTCTTCTTTCCATCTCTGGGCTAGTAACATCCACGCAGCTGTTGTCGCATACATAAAAAGTCTTTTCTGCTCCTTTGGGATGTCGGTACCTACTATTCCCAATAAAAAAAGCTTCTAGGTTTTTTTAATAATAATAATAATTTATTATTTGTACCCCGCCCATCTGGCTGGGTTTCCCCAGCCACTCTGGGCGGCTTTCACAAAAACTAAAAATACACTAAGATGTCACACATTAAGAACTTCCCTGAACAGGGCTGCCTTAAGATGTCTTCTGAATGTCAGGTAGTTGTTTTTCTCTTTGACATCTGGTGGGAGGGCGTTCCACAGGGCGGGTGCCACTACCGAGAAGGCCCTCTGCCTGGTTCCCTGTAGCTTTGCTTCTCGCAATGAGGGAACCGCCAGAAGGCCCTCAGCACGATCTCAGCATCCGGGCAGAACAATGTGGGTGGAGACGCTCCTTCAAGTATACTGGGCCAAGGCCATTTAGGGCTTTAAAGGTCAACACCAACACTTTGAATTGTGCTCGGAAACATACTGGGAGCCAATGTAGGTCTTTCAAGACCGGAGTTATGTGGTCTTGGTGGCTACTGCCAGTCAGCAGTCTAGCTGCCGCATTCTGGATTAGTTGTAGTTTCCGGGTCACCTTCAAAGGTAGCCCCACGTAGAGCGCATTGCAGTAGTCCAAGCAGGAGATAACTAGAGCATGCACCACTCTGGCGAGACAAAGTTATTTTAAACATTTTTTTTTCAGTTCATTATATATCATTTCCCAGAAAGCTTTGATTATCGTGTAGGGGTTAGAGTGTCGGATTATGACCTGGGAGTTAAAATGAGGGGCGGGGGGAAGAGAACTCTATATGCCACTTTGAGCTTACTGGAAGAAAGGTGGGATATAACCATATGATCCTGCTTGGACCCTGAGATCATCTTCTGAGGCCCTCCTTCGTGTGCCTCCTTCTCGAGAGGTGCGGAAGGTGGCAGTACAAGAACGAATGGGCCTTTTTTTGCAGTGGCTCCCTGACTGTGGAATGCTATCCCCAGGGAAGTTCGCCAGGCAAAAACATTCTCTCTCTTTCTCACACAGACACACACACACACACACACACACACACACACACAAAACACATAATCATTATCCACTATACCACTCTGACTCTTAGAACCTGTTGAATTCCTTCCCTCCCACCTCATGGCTTTCAAAATTAACCTTCATATGATTGCAATTTATACGTTTTCCAATTCTAATTACACTCATTACAGAATGACTCAAAATTTATAGAACTATAGAAAGGTAGAAAATTTCCCGTTGCCAGTCTTCAGACAACCCTACGAATGATGTTAATTGCTCACACAATAATCTTTCAAATATTGTATGAATTTACTCCAGTCCTTTTGGAATACTTGATCATGCTGGTTTCGGATTTTTCCTGTCAGCTTCGCCAGTTCTGCAAAGTCCATCATCTTCATTTGCCACTCTTCTTTCATTGGTACTTCTTGTTGTTTTCATTTCTGGGCTAAAAGGATTCTTGTCACAGTTGTTGCAAACATAAACAGTCTTTTACCTTCAAAAGAAGATAAAATGTTCCTTTTTAACCAGGCCTTTGGTTGACCTGATTGACATCCTGTTGTTGTTGTTGTTGTTGTTTAGTCATTTAGTCGTGTCCAACTCTTCGTGACCCCCTGGACCAGAGCACGCCAGGCACTCCTGTCGTCCACTGCCTCCCGCAGTTTGGTCAAACTCATGCTGGTAGCTTCAAGAACACTGTCCCACCATCTCGTCCTCTGTCGTCCCCTTCTCCTTGTGCCCTCCATCTTTCCCAACATCAGGGTCTTTTCCAGGGAGTCTTCTCTTCTCATGAGGTAGCCAAAGTATTGGAGCCTCAGCTTCAGGATCTGTCCTTCCAGTGAGCACTCAGGGCTGATTTCCTTAAAAATGGACATGTTTGATCTTCTTGCAATCCATGGGACTCTCAAGAGTCTCCTCCAGCACCATAATTCAAAAGCATCAATTCTTCGGTGGTCCAGCTCTCACTTCCTATACCCTTTTAAAATGTGGCTCTTGGGAGGTGTTATTGGATTATTGTTCTTATTTTGATTTTATATATTGCGATCTTTTCTGTGAACTGCCCTGAGACCTTCGGGTATAGGCCGGTATAATAATAATAATAATAATAATAATAATAATAATAATAATTTATTTATATCCCGCCCTCCCCAGCCGAAGCCGGGCTCAGGGCGGCTAACAACAATCAAATAATCAAACAATCAAATAATCAAACATTCTAAAAACATTTCATTATAAAAATTAATTAAAATCAAATTAATGGCAACCGTTGAGCAAAATTCTGTGCAGGTTGCCAGAGGAGGGAGTCAGGCTGGGCCCTGACCAAAGGCCTGGTGGAACAACTCTGTCTTGCAGGCCTTGTGGAAAGATGTCAGGTCCCGCAGGGCCCTGGTCTCTTGTGACAGAGCGTTCCACCAGATTGGAGCCGCAGCCGAGAAAGCCCTGGCTCTAGTTGAGGCCAGCCTAACCTCTCTGTGGCCTGGGATCTTCAGGATGTTTTTATTTGCAGACCGTAAATTTCTCTGTGGGACATACCAGGAGAGGCGGTCCCCTAGGTACGAGGGTCCTAGGCCGTATAGGGCTTTAAAGGTTAAAACCAGCACCTTAAACCTGATCCTGTACTCCACCGGGAGCCAGTGCAGCTGGTATAGCACCGGGTGAATGTGATCTCGCAGCGAAGACCCCGTAAGGAGTCTCGCTGCAGCATTCTGCACCCGCTGGAGTTTCTGGGTCAGTCTCAAGGGCAGCCCCACGTAGAGCGAGTTACAATAATCCAGTCTGGAGGTGACCGTCGCGTGGATCACAGTGGCTAGGTCAGGGCGAGAGAGATAAGGGGCAACTGCTTAGCTTGGCGGAGATGAAAAAATGCCGCCTTTGTTATAGCTGTAATCTGCGCCTCCATAGAGAGGGAGGTATCGAAGATTACACCCAGACTCTTAACGGACGGTGCTGGCACTAATTGCACCCCCGCCAGAGATGGGAGTTGCCCCCCCAATCCCATATCGTCCCGTCCCAGCCAGAGGACCTCTGTCTTCGAAGGATTTAACTTCAACCGGCTTCCACGTAACCATCCAGCCACAGCTTCCAAACATCTGGTCAGTGTGTCTGGGGCCGAGTCAGGATGGCCATCCATCAACAGATAGAGTTGGGTGTCATCGGCATACTGATGGCAACCCAGCCCAAAACTCCGGACAAGCTGGGCGCATAAAGATGTTAAAAAGCATCGGGGAGAGTATCGCACCCTGAGGCACTCCACACACCAAGGAGTGGCGCGATGACAATTCCCCCCCAAGCGCCACCCTCTGTCCCCGACCAGAGAGAAATGAGCGCAGCCATTGGAGGACCGTGCCCTGGATCCCCACGTCGGAATAAATATAAATCAATAAATATAATCAATAAATATATTGATTATAAATATAAATATAATCAATAAATATAAATATATATAAATGTAAACAATAAATGCAGCTAAGTCCCCTTTGCGCTGTGTTGAATACACATTGTTTTTAAAATGCAATAAAAACAGTTTACGATAACATAAACATACTTCTATAATGCCCAGCAAAACTAAGGGGCGTCTGTAAATAATATCTCCAAGCATCTTGAGCCATCATGACATATTATCTTTTGCAGGGAAAAGCCAAACGAAAAGTATGATTGACAGCCAACCGGACCTGCTGAAAAATTAGCTCCTGGTCCCATACTGGTAACAGATAGTGAATTACACTGCCTCAGACATTGGGATGCAAATTCAACCTTCTCAGCTGTGGCCGGACACATTCTATCACATAGAAACGAGCATTAATTAAAGGAGAGGACCAGATGCCGGAATGAAGCATATGTGAGCACAAGATGGGATACAACGTTGGCTGGCTGCTGGCATCCTCTGCCCCCTGGGCATGGCAGTGACACTCGCCCCGGGCACAGGGAAACATACAAGCGCTCATTAGCTCTTTCGGGCTGATCTGATACGGCTGTCCAATTCCTCCCTAGCTGTCTGCGTAAATGACGGAGTTGTGAACATAGCCGGCAGAGCTGGCAATCTAGTTATTAGACACGGTGTTTAACTCGAGTCTTAAGTTTTCCTCAAGTTTCACCCCATAATTATTAGGCCTGGGACTTCCACTGTGTTTGTGCAGGTGGATATTAGATTTTCTATCAGACCGTTCCCAAAGGGTCAGGATGGTTTCCCACATCTCTGCAGATCTCATCATGAATGGGGACGCCACAGGGGTGCGTGTTGAGCCTGCTTTTATATAAGCTCTATACAGCTGACTGTGCCCCCAAATACCCCAGTAATAAGATCATTAAGTTTGCAGATGATAAAACGGTGGTTGGTTTAATCACGGCTGGAGAGGGGGAGGCAGCCTATAGGAAGGAAGTTGAGCAGTTGGGGGAGTGGTGCAGGAAAAACAACTTACTCCTTAACTTAAAGAAAACAAAAGAGATTATTATGGACTTTAGGAAATGTAAATTGAATATTCAGCCACTTATTATTGAGGGGAAGTGCGTGGAACAGGTCTCGGTGTTTCGATTTCTGGGAATGGAGTTGAGAGATGACCTAACCTGGGGAGAAACAGCAAAGACCTGATGAAGAGAGCACAGCAGAAGTTATATTTTCTGAGAATCGTCCGTAAAAACAACCTCTCAAAGGACCTGTTGATGGCATTTTACCATTGTACTGTGGAGAGTGTATTAACTTATGGTCTCTGTGTGTGGTTTGGGAGCTGCACGGCCAGGGAAAAAACAGTGCTGTCCAGGGTTGTAAAGACTGCAGAGAGAATAATTGGGTGCCCTCTTCCCACCTTAGATCAAATCTATGCTGTCAGGTGCCATAAGAAAGCTGCAGAGATAGCGCAGAATAGTACGCACCCCGGAAATGATCGCTTTCAGCTTCTGACTTCTGGAAGAAGGTATAGGGATATAAAGAGCAGGACTAGCCGCCTGAGAAACAGTTTCTACCCAAATGCAATTCTGGTTCTAAACGCACCATAAGGAGTCTCTATAATATATCGTATTTTAAAATGGGGTTTCAGAGTTTTTAGGGGTTTTTGAATGTCTTATGTAGATTTTTCAGTTTCATTGTTCTGTATGGGACAATGACAATAAATATATCATGTGCTGGTCCCGGGGGGTTACCATGCGGCATGGTCCGAGTCCAGTCCGAGGTCGAGGGTGTGGTATGGAGGCTGTCCATCAAGGCTGAAGCAGGGTCCAAGGCAAGGAGTCGGGTGGGGTCAGGAACTCTGGCAGAAGAGCAGGACAGGGTGCCAGCAGGAACAGATTACCAACAATGTTGCTCCCGCAACCTGGGACTGGGGCTGGCTGGCTTTTATCTGCCCCGAGGCATAGGGTGGTCCCAGTCCACAGGTGACTCGCCTCTCCTGGCCTGGAGGCGAGCACTCCTCCTGCAGGAACATAGCTCCCTCCGCCTCTCTGCCCTGAGCCTCTGCAGCTCAGGAGAAGCTAGAGGGTTACTGGACCCAGAGGCAACCTCCTCTTCCCCTGACTGGGCTGAGACTGGAGCACCTACAGGCAATGGGTCCTCCATCCCCTCCAGAGCCAGAGCAGATTCAGCTGGTGTCTGCTCCTGAGGATCCAGCACAGGTGAGGACCCTTCAGGCTCAAGCCCCAGACCCGGCTCAGCTGGTCCTGGAGGCGGGGACTCCTGTGCAGCCTGGGATTCCTCAGGTTCAGCCTCTGAATCCAATTCCCAGGCCATCACATATCTTATTGCATAGGTAAGCTGTTGTTATAGAGTTGGGGGGCGGGCGGGGATTTGTTGGTCCTAGACAATCTCAATTAAGGACTTAAAACTGTGTCGCATGACTGTGCAGAGAAAGAAATAGGCAGGTCTTCGGTTGAATGGTTTGCAGCCCAATCAACAGGACACACTGGGAAGAAAAGACGGTGGGGGAAAGTGGAAAATATGCACATTCAAAGGTCGGGCAAGATCACTTTACAAATGACCGGGTGGAATGGCTGCATATGGAAGCTTTTTGGTTCTAGAGGGGCCCAGTGACGATTGGACCCAGCCTGACTGATGGAGAAACTGAGCTGTCTCTCCCCTCTAGACACCTGCCAGGTGGAACAGCCACCAATTTTTATAGCCTTTGGAGAAGCCAGCAGACTAATTCTGAGGTAACTGTCTGGTTTCATCCCCTGCAGAAAAGTGGTCGACTGAGCCATTATGACATAACCACATTCTATGGATATGTAGCTTTGAACGGGCCTCATTGCATCCACTGCAATGGATTCTGTACAATCACATCCCCCAGATAACATCACCGGACTTCAAATTCTAGGGTGCTTTCCCCCTCTGTGCCCAGATCCTGTGGAACAGCACCAGTAGCCAGATAAGCATAACTATCATGCTTAGCATTATAGTACTTATGCAGCGCTTCAGAGTCCGCCTCCCCAGCCATACCCCTACCAAACCTGCTTTAGGTAAAGGGTACCCTGACCATTAGGTCCAGTCATAACCGACTCTGGGGTTGCGGCGCTCATCTCGCTTTATTGGCCGAGGGAGAAGGCGTACAGCTTCCGGGTCATGCGGCCAGCATGACTAAGCCGCTTCTGGTGAACCAGAGCAGCGCACAGAAACGCTGTTTACCTTCCCGCTGGAGCGGTACCTATTTATCTACTTGCACTTTGAGGTGCTTTCGAACTGCTAGGTGGGCAGGAGCAGGGACCGAGCAACGGGAGCTCACCCCGTCGCGGGGATTCGAACCGCCGACCTTCTGATCGGCAAGTCCTAGGCTTTGTGGTTTAACCCACAGCGCCACCCTCATCCCTTAAAACCTGCTTTATACCCTCCTTAATTTCCTGGCTGGAGTGGCTGCTGGACTCTGATGATGCCTCAGTTTGCCTGGATGGAAGATATGAGTGTGTGCAGAACTGAGGGTTGCTACTCATCCCTTAAAATATGGCATTGTCCCTTTTTAGGGCACAGAGTTCCCTGCTCGTTTGGCCTACTTTTGAAATCATCCTACTCCACAAAAATAATAAAATCAGTACAGTGGTACCTCTGGTGGCGAACGGGATCCGTTCTGGAGGCCCGTTCGCAACATGAAAAGAACGGAACCCGCTGCACACGCGCGGGTTGCAATTAGCCGCTTCTGCACATGCGTGTGACATCATTTTGAGCTTCTGCGCATGCACGAGCGGCGAAACCCAGAAGTAACCCTTTCTGGTACTTCTGGGTCGCCGTGGGACGTAACCTGAAAGAACGTAACATGAAGTGGGTAACATGAAGCGGACGTAACATGAGGTATGACTGCACTGGCGCAAGCACAACTGGGCAAACCTAGCTAAATTGTGGGAGCGCTGCAACATACACTCCAAGCGCCCCGATTTTCCAGGGACAGTCCGGAATTGCAAAAGCCGTCCTGGCTTCTGATTTGTTTGGGGGTTTTTTAATATGTTTATTTTATTTTGCAACACAAAAACACATAACACTAATAAAAGGAAAGGGGGGGAGAGAAAACTTCAAAAGAAGATACAAAAACCAATACGGAACAATTATTGGACAATGAACATGTAACCATATTTCAGTTCTTCTTTTCTTCTAATTGACTTTGTCCTCAGCACAGTTCTACTTTCATATTTAGTAAACCGTTTCCTTCTCACTTCTCCTCCCCCTTTCTTTCTACAGTGGTACGTCGGGTTACAGATGCATCAGATTACATACGCTTCAGGTTGCAGACTCCGCTAACCCAGAAATAGTACCTGGGGTTAAGAACTTTGCTTCAGGATGAGAACAGAAATCATGCCCCGGTGGCGCAGCGGCAGCCAGTGTGGTGTAGTGGTTAAGAGCGGTAGTCTCGTAATCTGGGGAACCAGGTTCGCGTCTCTGCTCCTCCACATGCAGCTGCTGGGTGACCTTGGGCCAGTCACACTTCTCTGAAGTCTCTCAGCCCCACTCACCTCACAGAGTGTTTGTTGTGGGGGAGAAAGGGAAAGGAGAATGTTAGCCGCTTTGAGACTCCTTAGGGTAGTGATAAAGCAGGATATCAAATCCAAACTCCTCTTCTTCTTCTTCAGCAGGAGACCCCATTAGCTAAAGTGGTACCTCAGGTTAAGAACAGTTTCAGGTTAAGAACGGACCTCCAGAACGAATTAAGTTCTTAACCTGAGCTACCACTGTATTTTAATCTTTTACACCATAATTTGTTTTGCAAAAGTCCCGGCTTCTGATTTGATCCTGGAATGTCCCCATTTCCCCCACCAGTGCCACATTCAGGGAGGAGGATGAGTCGGTGCTTGTCCTGAGTGATGAAAATGGTGGCAGCTGCAAAAGAGCACCCCGTTGACTCTCCATGGCCGCCACTACCAACTTCCTCCCTTGGGCAGATCAAAGAGACTGTGGGCGAGGAGGACGAGAGGCCCAGACCTGAATGATACACTGGCTCTGAGGGGCAAGCAGAGGGCAGGGCCGCCCTGGGTGGAAAAAAGAGGGAGCAGAGTGGAATGCAAGCGTTCTTGATTTCTTAAAAAAATGCTTTGTGCATCTGCGTCTAATCTTGATCCTTTCTAAAATTCATTTATTGGTGTGTGTTCTTTTTGCCAATCTACCAAAGAATTCTCCTGCCAACCTAGCAGTTCGAAAGCACATCAAAGTGCAAGTAGATAAATAGGTACCACTCCAGCGGGAAGGTAAACGGCGTTTCTGTGGGCTGCTCTGGTTTGCCAGAAGCGGCTTAGTCATGCTGTCCACATGACCCAGAAGCTGTACGCCGGCTCCCTCGGCCAATAAAGAGTGATGAGCGTCGCAACCCCAGAGTCGGCCACAACTAGACCTAATGGTCAGGGGTCCCTTTACCTTTACCTTACCAAAGAATTAAATAAAATAAAATTGGAGATTAAGCGGATTTCTCAGGACAGTGGAGGGCGTGTGTGCTTTGTCCCATTGGTGAAATAGCGGTGGCACCCGCCCTTCTTCTGCTAGCAAATGCTCTGCGGGTGGAGGGGACACCAAAAATTGGGGGTTGAGGAGGGTCAGTTGGGGGAGGATTGAGAAATGTCCCTTTTTGTCATCTGAGGAAAGTTGGAGTGTATGCTGCAATGTCTTGAGGATTGCAGTCCTTAAAGCCAGAAGGACCTTCATAGGTTCAGTAGCCATTGCCCAAAAGCAAACAAAGGCAGAGCGAACAGATCACTTTTGTACTTTGCTATTCCTGAGGCCTCTGGCCTAGTTCCACCACTGTTTGGTTAAGGCTCTCCCTTTTCTGTATACTTTTGCTGAACAGTTTAGGCTAATGAGTTCATGTAGGATGAGCCGTTGTTTTGTCTGACTGCCAATTATTCATTATAATCTAAAGAGCTGTCGGTTAACCAAAGCAGCTGCGGCGACTTGCCGGAGTGTAGAAGGAGCCTTTCAGTGACTCACACATCTGCTCTGATGCGGATGCCTTGATGCCGAGCCAAAATCTGCTTCCAATAAATATTGTATAAATATCGGTGCTTTACGAAGCTCTGCATCTGGCCAAGGCTGGCCAGCTCAGAATGAGCCTTCGCCCGTCACACGCTAGACAATGTAAAAAAACTCGTGCCCTCATAGCTCAGACTTGCATAACGTTTCAAGTGCAATTATAACATTCACAATCAAGCCATGAGGCCATCCAAATAATCTCCTGTCTTCTCCAATTTGTAGAGCATAAAGAAAAAAGGTCTCTGTGTGTGTATATCTCTCTAGGACGCACCCAACCATAGGACGCACCTTGTTTTAGAGGGGGAGAAATTTTTTTCTTGTTCTCCCCTTCTTGTTCTCTGCTCAGCGCCCCTTCAGCGAAGCAGCAGGAGAAACGGAGCCCCTTCCATTTCTCCTCCCTCTCTGCTGAAGCCGGGAGAGTCTTGCTCTCCCGGCTTCAGCAAAAGGAACCCGAAGCCTCCAGAGCGCAGCGGGAATTCGCGCTGCGCTCCGAAGGCTTCAGGCGGCTATCCCTGAAGCCTGGAGAGTGAGAGAGGTCGGTGCACTCCCTCTGCGCTTCGGAGGCTTCGCGTTGCTATCGCTGAAGCCAAGGAGCCTGCATTCGCTCCATAGGACGCACATACATTTCCCCTTAATTTTTGGAGGGGAAAAGTGTGTCCTATAGAGCGAAAAATATGGTATAGTGGTACCTTGGGTTACAGACGTTTCAGGTTACGCGTTTTTGGGTTGCGCAGCGTGCCGAACCCGGAGTACCGGAACAGGTGACTTCTGGGTTTCGGCACTCGCGCATAAGCACTAAATCGCACTTTGTGCATGCGCAGAAGTGCCGAATCGTGACCCGCACGTGAGCAGATGCTGCGCTGCGGGTTGCGAACGCTGCGAGTTGCGAACGTGCCTCCCGCACGGATCACGTTCGCAACCTGAGGTTCCATTGTATATATATATATATTTAACTGGAATGAGGAAAGAAAGAAAGGCAGAAGAGATGGGCTGTGGCACATACTATGAACTTTCCAGCCCAGGTTGACCCACCCATGAAGAAAGGTGAAGCAACCACCTCAGGTGGCAGAACCCACGGGGGCAGCATATCTGGCCTCCAACAAATGCATTGTCCACTGCTGCTGCCATCGCCACTTGCTCCTTGGAATTGGAGTTGGGATGCGGGTGGCGCTTTGGTCTAAACCACTGAGCCTCTTTGGCTTGCTGATTGGAAGGTTGGCAGTTCAAATCCCTGCAATGGAGTGAGCTCCCATTGCTCTGTCCAAGCTTCTGCCCACCTAACAGTTCGAAAGCACACCAGTGCAAGTAGATAGATAGGGACCACTGTGGTGGAAAGGTAAACGGTGTTTCCATGCACTCTGATTTCTGTCACTGTGTTCTGTTGCGCCAGAAGCGGTTTAGCCATGCTGGCCACATGACCCAGAAAGCTGTCTATGGACAAACACTGGCTCCCTCAGCCTGAAAGCGAGATGAGCGTCACAACCCCATAGTCACCTTTGACTAGACTTAGTCATCCAGGGGTCCTTTACCTTTACCTATAAGGTGCTGATCTTGGTATCCTACTATGCACCCTGGACTCAGGATACCTGAAAAATCATCTCAACCCTCCTGCAGATGCCGTCTTATCAGGCAGAGCTCTGCAGCAGCACTGGAAATTACTCAAGTACCCCCTGCAGTATCTCCTGTTCGCCTAGAATTCCCTTCACGTCATGTACTGCAACAGAAATCTGTTCCCCAAATTCTCCTTGGAATTCTCAGCTGCAAATGTTGATGTCCCTGGCGGTGTTGATATCACCAAAATGCCTGCTCCTGCCCCAATAGGTCTACAAATCTTAACTGTTAGCAGCGGAAGAAACAACAAAACAGGGAAGGGAGGGAAAGACAGCAGAGGGAAGTTCAGCCGGGGAGGGATTAATATTCACAAATGCAGAATATTCATCCGATGCACTCTCTCTGAAAGTGGGCCAAACATTGGCCCAATGGTTGCTATTGGGTTGATTTGAATTAATTTTATAATGAATGATTTTAGAGTGTTGTGTTGTGTTGTGTTGTACTGTTGTACTGTTTTATTGTTGTTAGCCGCCCTGAGCCCGGCTTCGGCTGGGGAGGGCGGGATATAAATAAAATTTATTATTATCATTATTATTATTCACTTTTTCTGGGTCATCTGACAGACATTATAATCAAATATTTGTCCTCCTATGTTTTCCCTGCAGTTTTTCCACCCCCACAGTCCCCCCAACTGGAGGAAACTCTTTTGGAAGGAATGGGAAAGGAACCCAGAGAACCTTTTCTTCTGCCCTTCCCAGAGCCATGATGAGGGAGAGAGACTTTCTGCTTGGCCATCAGACAAAGTCTTTTTCCACCGGCCCTGCCCCAACCTCCAGCCCTAGAAGACATTTTTGTACACGTTACCGTATTTTTCGCTCTATAAGACACACCAGACCACAAGACGCACCTAGTTTTTGGAGGAGGAAAACAAGGGGAAAAAAAAATATTCTGAATCCCAGAAGCCAGAACAGCAAGAGGGATCTCTGCGCAGTGAAAGCAGCAATCCCTCTTGCTGTTCTGGCTTCTGTGATAGCTGCGCAGCCTGCATCTGCTCCATAAGATGCACACAAATTTCCCCTTACTTTTTAGGAGGGGAAAAGTGAGTCTTATAGAGCAAAAAATACGGTATTTATAAGGTGTATGATCTTTGTTGTTTCTTCAGCTTATAAACCATGTTGCGTATAGTAATGTAGAAAGGCAATATACAAATAAAAGTGAAATGAAAAATGAAAAAAATGGAATGGTTTCAACGTGCCTAGTGATGTATTGAGCTAGCAAAAGGATAATCTCTTGGCACACCCCTTTGCTATATTTAAGACTATTTCTGTGGGTGCCATGCTTGTTTTTAATCAGCGTTTTAAAAAATGCTTTCCAGGGCTGTATTTTTAATATAGTGCAATATATGCACTATTAGCATTGAAATAAAAGAGCATTATAGCACTAATTGAAGAATTGATTTTTTATTTTATTTTCAAAAGCTTGGTGCATTTCCACTATCCACCTATGCAATAATGCCCACCCTTTTTTAAATTAACCACTTTTGAGCTACAATTCCTATGCAAAAAAAAAAATTAAACACTTTTGATGTTTTGTAGGCAATAATTGGGCAATCAAGCTTAGTGTTTTAGCACTAATTAAATAATGTGGGGTGTTTATTTTTAACTTAAATAAAGCTCAATCTATCAAACAAACACCCAGCCATGAATGAGATGAACTGGCCCACAGGATTGTGGGCAGATTTGGAAGACTGAGCTAGAGGTGACTAGCAGGAAAACTTGCTGGTCCTCATCTACAGAAGGCTTCTCTCTACTATTCTGATCATATGTAGTCCCTTGATGCTCTCCAGTAATGCAATTCAATAGTCTTCATGGCATCAGGTATCCATTTACCTTGTCTCTGTGGGAATGTTCAAGAAGGCAGGAGAGGATATATTGTTTATTAATATCCTTCCCAACTTGTGTTTGTTGTTGTTTAGTCATTTAGTCGTGTCTGACTCTTCGTGACCCCATGGACCAGAGCACGCCAGGCACTCCTGTCTTCCACTGCTTCCCGCAGTTTGGTCAAACTCATGCTGGTAGCTTCGAGAACACTGTCCAACCATCTCGTCCTCTGACGTCCCCTTCTCCTTGTGCCCTCCATCTTTCCCAACATCAGGGTCTTTTCCAGGGAGTCGTCTCTTCTCATGAGGTGGCCAAAGTATTGGAGCCTCAGCTTCAGGATCTGTCCTTCCAGTGAGCACTCAGGGCTGATTTCCTTCAGAATGGATAGGTTTGATCTTCTTGCAGTCCATGGGACTCTCAAGAGTCTCCTCCAGCAGCATAATTCAAAAGCATCAATTCTTTGGCGATCAGCCTTCTTTATGGTCCAGCTCTCACTTCTATACATCACTACTGGGAAAACCATAGCTTTTACTATACGGACCTTTGTTGGCAAGGTGATGTCTCTGCTTTTTAAGATGTGTCTAGGTTTGTCATTGCTTTTCTCCCAAGGAGCAGGCGTCTTTTAATTTTGTGACTGCTGTCACCATCTGCAGTGATGGTGCAGTAACTTGTGTTAGCAAGTCCCTTTACTTAGCAGAGTGCCTTCCCCTTTCAAACGCACAGCGGGTGGCTGGTTACAGGCTTGTTTAAGCCTCTCACTATCATACAAATCAGCATTGAATTGTAGGTTCCTAGTAAGTTCCCCATTTTATCCCTCTCAAAAGAATAAACACATGACAATCTTATTTAAAGTCAATAAAAGAAGTTTACTCACAACATCATCAGTCCACAGTTGGCTCCCTGAAGGCAGACTTAGTTGCAAAGTATTTACATGCGGAACTATCCCATATGGGAATAATCCCAGTGTCCTCTTTTGGCTGAAATCCAATAGAGCATCTCTAGCTAAAAAGCTGTTGCTCCCATGACGGAAGAAGTCAGAGAGAGAGAGAGCTGTGTGCCTTGTGCTTTTGTTACCTGCACAGGTAAGGTCACGCCCACCTCTGGTCACATGCAAAGGAAGTATGTCCCAGCCCAGGAGGAAACAGGAAGTTCCAACTGGCTGGACCAAACATCCCCTTGAATGTCCACTCTAGGAAAACAAGGAATGTCGTATTTGACTGCTACTTGTGTATCACATCCCACAGTCTCCTCTTCACCGATTCTCTTGAGATCTTTGGATAAGACCCTAGCTATGCAGATTGACCTCCATGGGAGCTAGAAGGAACCATTTCAATAGGGGAAATATTGTGTGCCTAGCAGCAGAGGAAGCATTAGTGCTACCCCTTGGGCAGGGGCATAGCTGGGATTTATGTTGGAGGGGCAGGACAGCCAACTGTCAGCATCCTCTGTCTAGCAGATTCGGAATGAAATGTCTCAACAATTTATAATTTTGGGAATTATGGGGACAGAAGTACCAAAACTGTATAGAAACTTATTCACGTCTGCGACGAGAATGTTACTTGCCCCCAAATGGAAAGAAGCAGAAGTCCCAGCAAAGGGATACAAAAACTTATGGAATATGCAGAAATGGTGAAGCTTACCGGAAGAATAAGAAATCAAGATAACAAACTTTTTATTCAAAAATGGAAATGGTTTATTGACCATTTTGCAAACAGATGAGAACATTGGCAGGATTATTGTAATAACCTGCAGTTTCATAAGAGTATATATTTAAAGTAGATGCATAAATGAACAAATTAAGTTAATCTGGATATGCAGAAGATATTAAAAATAAATTTAAGGAACCGCAGAAAGAGGGGGAAGGAAGTCAAGTTTTGAAATGTTAAAATGATTGCAAAATTAGTGAAATGTATAAACCCGAAAAGCATAAATAATTTAAAAAACAACACCCAGTTGTTATAAATTACTTTCTTTTGATCCCAAGTGCTCAGAAAAATCTGTCAAAATCTTCAGTCATTTGAAAACTAGAAAGTTAATTATTTTAAAAAACCAAAAAACGTCAGGGAGTACCTTTCATGCAGTCAATGAGTATATTTTGCAAAATTACAAAGAACACGCTTTTTTCATCTGATCTTTTTCAAAAATCTAAACTAAAACAAACTTTGCAACACTTCCTTCTCAAATTCCTCCTTTTTCCCCAATGCAGTTTTTCTGCATACCCAGTAAGCATAGCCCATTGAGATGCTTGCCATTGTCAACTTTAACCAGATCTTTACTCTCCGCAAGGTGCTGAATGACCGCTCTACAGTACAAGTGGTCTCAAGCGAGCATGTCAGTTTCAAATATTCTGATTATTTCTGCTTTTAGTTAAGTATTTTTATTTATTTACTGCCCCCCACCCCACTCCAGCTACACCCATGCCCCTAGCCTAGGTAATGTGGAGGCGAAGGATTCGTGGAAATTTCAAAATGGCTGCCAGGCTGTGCTGATACTCCTTCAGGAAAATGTGGTTTTTTTTAAGAAAGCACTTGTGCTACTGCCATTGCTAACGGGGAGCCCGACTCCTAAAAACACTTGGGAATTTCTGCTCCTCCTGGAGAAATCTGGTGATATGGTTCTCCCTGTGGCTCTTGGCCACAAATAAGATGGAGAATTGCAAGGGGCTGTATTTTAGTTTACATTCTTTGGTGATGACTGCACCTTTAGTATTCATCTCCCCCCCCCCCAGCTATTTTAGTTACTGTGGCAATGTTACTGTGAGTTACTGTGGCAATGAATGAAAACAAACAAATGTTCAGCTTTAATATTTCCTCTAACAAATCAGCAGCAGCTGATTTTTCCTTGTTCGGTTGTAAGTTATCGTTCAATCCGTGTCTCAAAAGACACTTATATTGAGGTTTGCATCAACATGCACATTATTTAAATCTATGTGATTAATGGATCAGTTGGTTAAAAAGCAGATGACTGATCAATAAAAATGGATGATAGTCCTAGTTCAGACATATGCAATGTGGTTAATCAGAAATAAACTTGAGAGCATAATTCTAGCATCCGAGGCAGCGAATGGTATTTACACTTGATTTACAAAAACGTCCTCTCGGCTTCGAAGTTATTAGTTCCCAAGTAACACATTTTAATTACGGATGTCATAGTCCCTGCATGGCTGACTTGAATTTAATTGAAAAACTCATATACTGCCATTGGAACTTCAGCATGAATGATAGTTGTTTACATATTTCCGGGAAAAGTACATTTTATTTCTTAGTCACTTGGCGGTTTATTTCCAAGGTAGAAAATCTGATGTTTGATTTTGCCGTAATCTGTCTTGCAGCGCGTACAATAAACTTCGCTCTAATGCCCTGTCAACAATAACCTCAGGTTGCCTCTGGGAAGAGGGGGGGAAATTGTCGACAGAGCCCTGGTAGCTAGAATTAGAAGAGTGAGGCAGTCTGACAATTCAAACTAGACTGAGTTGTTGTTCTTGTTCTTTATAAATTTATTTATTTGGTTTTTCCAATTAAAGTTTTACCATCAAATATCCTACATCCTCTCCTTTGTGGGTCCTATTGTTAATAATTTCCTTCTGCATTTTTTATAATTATCCAGATCTTTTACATCTCCATTACAGTGGTACCTCGGGATGCGAACGGGATCCGTTCTGGAGCCCTGTTCGCATCCTGACTGGAATGCAAGATGCGATGGCGCGTCTGCCCGTGCACGGGTTGCGTTTCGCCGCTACCTCGCATGCATGTGGCGTCATTTTGAGCGTCTGCACATGCGCGAGCAGCGAAACCGGAAGTAACATGCTCCGTTACTTCCGGGTTGCTGCGGAGCGCAACTCGAACGCGCTCAACCCGAAGCGCATTCAACTTGAGGTATGACTGTATATCCAAAATACACCATCAAACTACAAGTGTTATTCCAATCCTACTAACAATTATAACTGTTTACAATGATTTCTGAGATAAATTATAAATTTCCCCCATTCCTTATTAAAGTTCTGGTCTTCCTGATTTCTGAGCCTTCTGGTTATTTTTGCCATTTCAACATCGTCTATCAACTTCATCTGCCATTCTTCTCTGGTCGGGACTTTATTTTCTTTCCACTTCTGGGCCAATAACATCCGCGCAATCGTGGTCGCATACATAAATAATATTTTCTGCTCTATTGAGATTTCGGCACCTGTAAGTCCTAAAAGAAAGGCTTCAGGGTTATTGTTTTTTAGAAAAAGTTATTTTAAACATTTTTTTCAATTCATTATATATTAATTAATTAATTTTATAATGAATGATTTTAGAGTGTTGTTTATGCTATACTTTTATACTGTTTTATTGTTGTTAGCCGCCCTGAGCCCGGCTTTGGCTGGGGAGGGCGGGATATAAATAAAAAATTTTATTATTATTATTATTATTATTATTATTATCATTTCCCAAAATATGATAAAAGGTGCCTTCTTTTTCCATACATTTCCAACATATATTTGACCCTGTTTTATACATTTTTGCTTGTTTACTGGGAGTTGAATACCAACAGTAACTAGACTGAGTTGTAACCTCACCTGCCACAATGGTTTGGCAGAAACGGGGAATATCCACTTGAGCTGTGGATATCGGGGGCAGGGAGGAGTGCCAGAATGGCTCCACTAGTACATCTGCACTGCACCAGCCTCCCTTCTCCTGAACCACCATCCTATCCACTACTGCCTGTCTCCCAGCATTTTCCACCTGAGACAGCTGTCCGTCATGGACTGGATGGATGCAAAGGAATGTTGGGTGGAACCAGCTGGGGAACCCCCAAGGAAAGAAGACTCAGAGGAGTGAATTGGTGGTGGGGTGACTGGGAAGAGGAGGTGTTGGAAACTGAAGAGGTAACAGGGCTTTGTGAGAAGGGAGACTCTGTGGCAGAAAGAAGTCCAGAATAAGCGGCAAAAACTGAAGTAGGAGAGGAGGGAGGCCAAAAAGCAGAGGTGAGTCAGGCTGGTGAAGAGGCATGGGTGTCTCCCCCTCCAGCTGTGACAAGCTCCCCTCACAGCTTCTCTCCCAGAACCTCCTGAAGAGGATGGAGGCAAGGTTATCTTCATGTAGGCATCATCTCAGATTGCTTGGGAGAAACCCTGGGGAGGAAGGGACAGGCAGCTATGGGGAGGGCAGGGACCTTCAGTCTCAGCAAGTGCTTCGTGGCAGCAAGACCTGCCGGAGGTGAGCTGCCGTTCTCATTGGGGCTGACATTCCTGTGTTTGTGAATAAAGAGTTGACTCGAACTTACTCAGTGTGATTTACTCCTCTCACTGCCTCACTCTGCCTAATGGTAGGTCCAGTCTTGATCACATAGTGGCCCCCTTGCCAGGAGCAGCTACAGCTGTGAGAGTTAAGGAAACATACATGATTATACATAAATGAGGGACACGGGTGGCGCTGTGGGTAACATACATGAGGGACGCGGGTGGCGCTGTGGGTAAAACCTTAGCGCCTAGGACTTGCCAATCGCATGGTCGGTGGTTCGAATCCCCGCAGCGGGGTGCGCTCCCGTCGTTCGGTCCCAGCGCCTGCCAACCTAGCAGTTCGAAAGCACCTCCGGGTGCAAGTAGATAAATAGGGACCGCTTACCAGAGGGAAGGTAAACGGCATTCCATGTGCTGCGCTGGCTCGCCAGATGCAGCTTGTCACGCTGGCCACGTGACCTGGAAGTGTCTGCGGACAGCGCTGGCTCCCGGCGTATAGAGTGAGATGAGCGCACAACCCTAGAGTCTGGCAAGACTGGCCCGAACGGGCAGGGGTACCTTTACCTTTACCTTTACCTTTACCTTTACCTTTACATGATTATGACATCACTAGCACATGACATTGCTGACATGTGACATCACAAAAGTGCTACTAGACCCAGGGGCCTCTGCCGTCTATCATAATGTGGTCTTCAACATCAACTTCTTTGGACTGGTCATGTTCAGATGCCTGATTATCGTCTTCCAAAGGAACTAATCTATTCCAAACTTAAAAATGGAAAGTGGTGGTCAACAAAAGAGGTTTAAAGACTCTCTCAAGGCAAATCTAAAAAAATGTAGTATAAACACTGACAACTGGGGAACCCTGGCCTGCAAGCGCTCCAGTTGGAGAACAGCCTTTACCAAAGGTGTCATGGGCTTTGAAGACGCTCAAACTCAGGACGAAAAGGAGAAACGTGCTAAGAGGAAGGCACGCTTGGCAAACCCTCACCGTGATCAACTCCCACCCAGAAACCTATGTCCCTACTCTGGAAGGACATGTGGATCCAGAATTAGCCTCCACAGTCACTTATGGACTCACTGTTAAAACTGTGTTTATGGAAGACAATCTTAATCAGCTATGAGTGATCGCCAAAGAAGAAGGGAAGACTGCTCTAGTCCCTTGGGGATTCATGGTGCACACAAGAGGAACAAATGAGAACTTGAATCACTGGAAGAAATGATTATGCCACTCTAAGGCTTTTCTGAGCTAAATGCAGTGGCCTCCTGCATGGGAAGGCCAAGGGATGAATACCTAGTTAAAAATGAATATCAGTGATAATCTGCAAAATATAATGAAACGGCAAAGCGATGTAACTGGCAGGCGGTGCAGTCCAAGTCTTGTTAAAAGGACATCTGCGGGTGGTAACTGTCAGCAGAGTTCCGGGGAAGAGCTGGGCTGAATTACACTAATTGGAGATGCGCTCCATAGGCTGGTACAAGGAGAAAACAAAAGGCCCCTTGTTCACCGGAGGACCAAATAAAAGTTTGTGGGCCTGGCGCCTGGGTTCACTGTTTACCTCCTGCCTTTTGTCCCTCTTCCATTCATTAGGTTAGAAGAAAGGTGCTCCCTTTGGAACACCAGCAAATTTAACTCTGGCGTGCCTGGGTGGACGTGAAGTCTGGATCACTGCTGCTGCTGCTGCTGCAATACATAAAGGTCAGAGCCAGCCCTGTCATTGGGCAAAGTGAGGCAATTGCCTCTGCTGACAATATGCTGGGGAGAGGCAGTGAGATGTTGGGGACAGAAGATAAGGGAACGGGATATAGCTATTAATGATAAATTAACATGTGCCATTAAGGTAAGATGGGGAAAATGCAGGAGAAATGATTATGAGGAGATATGGAGGGTGTTTCTACTGTTAAAATGGAAAGGGGTCAAACCATCGCAAGAGGTGTTGAAATTTTGGGAGGTTGGATAGTGGGGTGCACATTTTTATTCTCATTTATTTATGATGACTACTGTGTAAAAGAAAAGAAAAGAAAGAAAAGACAGAGGATTTAAATAATCTTGGAAGAAATAATAAAATAATAATAATTAATAATAATAATAATAATTATTATTATTATTTATTTATACCCCGCCCTTCCCGGATACGTTAGAATTTAGATACGTTATTATCACTATCATATGTTTATGTTTTATACCTATGCTATTTTTTTATGTATGACTGTAACATAGCATGTGTTGATTATGAGACATAACAGAAAAGCAAATAAAAAATATATTTAAATAAGAAGAAGAAGATAGGGGAAATAATATCTGGGATACAGGAATGTATTAGCATCTCACCAGACACAGAAGGGAAATTAAAGGCATGACAAATAGAGACACTGTCCAAGGTGAACCCCTTGCTTTAAGTATGTTAATGACCCACATCAAGAACTTGTTATACTAACTGCTCAATCTTCTCAGCGAAGAGGTTATGTTAAGTAATAGGTTTTAACATGGAATGTGTAAGCTTGTGTCTAAAGTCAATGGATAGAACAAACACCATTAGGTGTACTGCTGGATAAGTGTTTAATGGTTCTTGTATCTGTATTTGCTTAAAAACCAATGAATTTGTGTGTGTGTGTGTGTGTGTGTGTGTGTGTGTGTGTGTGCTTAAAAGTTCAAGGTTACTACACCCTCCCTCAGCCTTCATTGAGACAAGCAAGTGGAACTGTCACGGGGCAAGGGCACATTCCAGTACATGAAAAGGATGCAGATCAGTGTAAGGACAGGATGTAAGGTAAAGTAAACGTGAAGGACCTCTGGACAGTGAAGTCCAGTCAAAGGTGACTATGGGGTTGCAGTGAACATCTCGTTTTCAGGCCAAGGGAGCCGGCGTTTGTCCACAGACAGCTTTCCGGGTCATGTGGCCAGCATGACTAAACCGCTTCTGGCGCAACAGAACACAGTGACGGAAACCAGAGCGCATGGAAACACTGTTTACCGTCCCACCACAGTGGTACCTATTTATCTACTTGCACTGGCATGCTTTCAAACTGCTAGGTTGGCAGGAGCTGGGACAGAGCAATGGCAGCTCACCCAGTTGCGGGGATTTGAACCGCCAACCTTCTGATCAGCAAGCCCAAGAGGCACAGTGGTTTAGACCACAGCGCCACCCACTTCCCTGTAGGACAGGATGTAACCACCTGGGAAGAGCATGGCATGGCTTGGGGAAAGTCTTGAGGGCCAGGGACTTGAGTCATCTTGGCTTCGAGTTCCTGACTATGGTTCCACTCAACAACCAGTTACAACTCAGCTCTGATCCTGATTGCTGTTCAATTAAATTGCATGACCCATATTCTCTTCTCTTCTGTCCCTCCTTTTTTTTCTTTACTTATTTGTGCAATGTTTTAAATCCCACCCTTCCACACAAACGCTCTCAGGGTGTGATGGCCTGGGAATCTGATTCAGAGGCTGAACCTGAGGAATCCCAGCCTGCACAGGAGTCCAGGGCCGTCTGAGCCGGGGCAGGGGCTTGAACCTGAAGGGCCCTCACCTGTGCCGGATCCTCAGAAGCAGACACCAGCCGAATCCGCTCTGGCTCCGGAGGTGATCGAGGACCCATTGCCTGCAGGTGCTCCTCTCCCAGCCCAATCAGGGGAAGGTGAGGTTGCCTCTGGGTCCAGTAACCCTCCAGCCTCTCCTGAGCTGCAGAGGCTCAGGGCAGAGAGGCGGAGGGAACTAAGTTCTTGCAGGAGGAGTGCTCGCCTCCAGGCCAGGAGAGGCAAGTCACCTGTGGACCAGGGCCACCCTATGCCTCAGAGGAGATAAAGGCCAGCCTGCCCAGTCCCAGGTTGTAGGAGCAACATCGTTGGTTACCTGTTCCTGCCGGCACCCTGTCCTGCTTTCTGCCAGAGTTCCTGACCATGCCTGACTCCCTGCCTTGGACCCCGCTTCAGCCTTGGACCGGACACGGACCACGCCGCATGGTAACACACACACACACACACACACACACCTGGGACCAGGACACAGGGTAGCCTGCAAATTCAAACATTATCTCCCTCCACTTTTACCCTCACAACAACCCTGTGGGGTGGGTTAGGTTGAGAAAGATAGTGACTCATCCAAGATCACCTGGTAAGCTTCATAACTGGGTGGTGGAGATTTGCACCTGGGTCTCTTCCCCAGTCTTAGCAGAACACTCAAAGCACTACTGTACATGACACTCTTCAGATGTGTGATACCTTTTTTCTTACTTGAGATGCTCCAAATCCAAGCCAATCAAAAACAAAGCACAGACTTAACTTCTCAGCAATTCCCCAAAGAGCGACCATTATAAATTTAAACAAAAGTCTGTCTTGGCAAGGAAACTGGAACTTCCCAGTGACTATCTCCTATGCCTGGCTGGTGGTAAATATTAATGGTGAAAGATAAAAGCAAATCTCTGGGTGCCGGAGATGGATATTTTAAAAGGCTTGTGCAGACTTCCCATGAAAAATGAAAATGGTACAGCTAGTGATTTACATATAAAACATTGCTCTTTCATTCCATCAGCCTAAGTGATGGATGCGGTAATTGGCCAAGGCAACCAAGAGGACACTTGCCAAGTCGCTTGTGTAGATTTTTATGATGCGTTAACTACCTTAGTCACTTACAAAGACGATCAGCTCAATGAATAACCATCAAAGGTCAAACTCTGTTTTGATAGATTTGTCAAGCAAAGTTGCCACCCTACTTCTATCCAAGTCCTGGCACGGAGTATTAATGCCTTGCTGAGCTCCAGACCTACTACTGCTTGAACAGGGAGCCTCCAAAGAGGAGATAGGACTGGCTAGCGCCCTGAATAAATTAATAATTTTGACAATTATGTAACGGACTGCAGCGGAAACCAGGTTGTATCTAAACCCACAACAGAATGAAGTGGGAGAGCCCTGGGATGGTAGAATGGACCGTACCACTTCAGACTGCAGATACAACAATCACATCTTTGTGTCAGGCTTCAGAGAATTGGCTTCCTCCCCCCATGGCAGTAGATAAGCAGAACAAAGGAACGGGAGTCTTCTTACCAATTAGAAACTTTGATAATCACAGCGAGAGAACAAAGAACCCTAATCTCTTTTTGTCCCATGCCTTAAGTGCGCTGGTTGCCAGGTATGCAGAGTTTTCTGAGCAGAGGGTGGGTATTGGCCACATTACTGTTGATGTCACAAAGCCATGAGCATTGGGTAAGGTGTTTGTGACAGAGGAAGCAGCAAACGTGATGGAGACAGCAACTGTACAACAGACCTCAATGGGCAGAATGTGAGGATGCAACCATAAACCTCAGAATTGGCAGAAAGAGGGTGCAATTGGGTGGCTGAGAAAGGTGGTGCTTTGGTGAAGTGCAGGACCAGCTCCAGGTATGAAGAGGCTTGAGTTTAGTGGTCCATTGGTGGCCCCTGGAAGGCTCACCTGGTGATGGGGGCGGTAGGCAGCAGCACTCACAGCAGTGCCCGAAATGATGTCAGGAGCATTGTGGGAAATTAAAATGGCTGCTAAAATCAGGCTGTCAGACAAAGACAAGTTATTTTAAGGGGGATGGTAGCCAGGGACCATTATCAGCAATGGGGTCTGCTGGGATGTTGTCAGGCTTCAGGGAATTGGCTTCCTCTCCCCGTGGCAGTAGATAAGAAGATCAAAGAAAGGAACGTCTTACCAATTACAATCTTTGATAATCACCTTGAGAGAACAAAGAACCTATCTCCTAGAAATATGGTGCTCCCAGTTAAGGGTCACTCCCCCTCTCCGTCCCTATTAATCTATCTCACTCCTCCATCTTGTGATCTGAGCTTGTACCCGTCTGTTCTGACACTTTCTGAGCTCTCCGTGACTTTGGAGAAGGAGGATGAATGCTGTCCAGAGACTGTGAATCTGTTAACCCTCTCTCTTCCAGTGTTTCTTCTTCTAGCTGTTCCCCATCCAGTATTTCCCAGCTTCTGCCTTCTGAACTATGCCCCTCTGCAAACCACTGTTCCAAATCTATACCATCCTCCTGCTCCTGGGAAGGTTCAGGACCCGGAGCAGGGGGAGGGGGAGGCACTCACCATTCTTCCTCAGTGCAGCCCTCCTCAGCACAGTCCCTGACATTTTGAGAGTCCCTCCACATAAAACAAACACGCAGAATTCTCACAGCAAGGGAAGCACTGAGTTAGAACCTTTCTCCATCCTTGTGTGCTAAGTTTCTACATGCCGGGAATTTTTTCATGTGAAGGAGCATTGAAAAATGATATGCTCCACCTGCACTCTGAAATGGGGCAATGCCCTCTACAAGGATGAGGTTGCCCTGCAAATGCTGTTGAACTACAACTCCCATCAACCTTGATCATGGGCCTTCCAGCTGGCACAGGCAGGAGTTGCAGTCCAACAACATCTGGAGGGCCGCGGGTTAACCATCTGTGCTCTACAGTCTCAGGGCTCTTCTATCTTATTCTTCCGGTACAGCAAAACCTTTTCCTCATTCATTCATTCATTCTTTCTTTCTTTCTTTCAGTTACAGAATGAATTGATTCAGATAAAAAACTGAAGCATTTCCTTATGTTTCAATCAGGGTTTCCGAAAGTTGGGTCTCCAGCTGTTTTTGGACTACAATTCCCATCATCCCTGACCACTGCTCCTGCTAGCTAGGGATGATGGGAGTTGTAGTCCAAAAACAGCTGGAGACCTAACTTTGGGAAACCCTGGTTTAGATTATCCAGTAAGGATCTGCTCTCATTTCCTTGACGGGGCTGGCCTACCCTTGAGGCAGGATGAAACATCTGCCTCAGGCACCTGAAGTCCAAGTTGCCCCCCCCCCGACCATCACAGCCGTCACTTCCACCATCAACAGAGAAGTGGTGCTGGCAGTGGCACCAGCTTCTGGTGAGATCTCGCGAGATCTCTCTGGGACTCGATGGTAGTACTGCTTTGGGACGATACATTCCCATTTGGCCTCAGACAGTGAAACAGGACACACTGCCCTGTTCATTGATATAAACTGAGTGGCATTTGTCAGGGGACAGAGCAGGACCTTTTCAGCATTGGCCCCTGTTTTGGGATTTCTGTTCTTGCAGTTTGCATTCCACCCACATTTATCTACCAAAGCTTTTAACTAACGTCTGATATGGCCACTGTGTTTTGGAATTCAGCAGCCATGTTTTTATTACTGCTTAGGTGTGTTGCTGTGTCAGCTATGTGCTGCTTTGAGCAATCCTAGGTGCATTCCTTGACTTCTGTGCGAAATGAGACAAAGGGTCAGAACAAAATTTGCACAAAACACTTGCAACCACCGTTGGTGCAGTCATGTGATTTTCATGTGTGTTCCTTTCAGATAATTGTCTGAAAGCGCATTGGAGGGCTCCACTGGCTACGTATCGAAATTGTACTGCACACAGAGCCTCCAGCATGAAAACTTTAGCCTCTCCCCACTTTAATAACCTCCAGCTCAAACCAGTCCACAGGCAGAGAGGATAAAGGAAAGGACACTGAACTCAACTCTCTAAATGGTTGTGGTTTGGACTCTGCATAGTTTCTGCTCAATAACAGCTTTTACGGTGTAACTTAAAGTTAGCATTGTATCCTGGCAGATATAATGCATTGTATCCTGGAATCAGATATAATGTCTAATGCTTACCTAATGCTGAGTTTTTATTGCTTTGCTTTGTTGTTGAGAGACTTAAGAAATATGCCCTTTTCTTTTGGTGCCAACCGTGGGGCGGTGTGGGGAGGGAGAAATCTCTAGATGCCACGGTCCAAGTTTGGGGCAAGTACTCTTTGGTGAGAGAACCCCAGCAGAGATTTAAAATCACAAAATATGCAGCAAAGTAAAACATGGAAATATTGGCTGTTGGACCATTAAAATATGCCCTTTCAAGTTTCCCTCTTCCCCCAGCATAGGGAAAGACCACACATTTGGTAACTTTAAAAATGGCTTACTAACTCTCCAAAGGTCAGATTCATGTGCTTTTCGATACATCAGTCAGAAAAGTTGCATAGGCAGTAAAACTTAGCTTAGCTACAAAGTGGTAGAAGTTCCTAAATTATTGGTATAGGAACTCAATAATGGCTGGTGAGAGCCATGCGGCTGAGCTGAAACAGCCAGTGCAAACCTCTTCATATGCTGAGCCTCTCAGGTAGACTGGGGGCCAGGGGACAATAGACTTGATTACCTATTTCCTCTCAAGGTTAGGGAAGTGACATAGCTAAGCCTGGCAGGACAGCTTACTCTGTGGTATTAACCCTTTCTTGCATTAATTAGACTCAAGCATATTGATTATATGAGGTTGGTTGCCTCATGTTTTCTTCACAAATCTGACTCAGGGTGGAACAAAACACAATTATGGAAAATGCATGATTCCAGTCCCACATCTACTAAGATAATGGGAATGGGGGGGGGGGCTTTCAGGGGGAGGATCAGTGAAGAGGAAAGGGTGCTTAACTTTTCTTGTGCTCACTGGTCATCCTCTGCAATCCCCCTACGACCCCCAGGTCTCTTTAACCACCACCTGGCTCACTCTCAGAGTCAAAGCCCAGAGGGTAAAACTTTAGAAAACAACCTAGGAGTGGTATTTGCAGGAAAGGTGTGGGTGGGTGGAGGGTTAAGCGACCCTCCCATGTGCTACTTCACACCTGCAAGTTCCCCATCACCCACCCACCCCAGATTAGTGTTACAAGGAAAGGTAAAAAGGTAAAAGGTAAGGACCCCTGGACAGTTAAGTCCAGTCAAAGGCAACTATGGGGTTGTGGCACTCTTCTTGCTTTCAGGCCAAGGGAGCCGGCGCTTGTCCACAGACAGCTTTCTGGTTCATGTGTCCAGCATGACTAAACCACTTCTAGCACAACAGAACACCATGATGGAAACCAGAGCGCATGGAAACACCATTTACCTTCCCGCCGCAGTGGTACCTATTTATCTACTTGCACTGGTGTGCTTTCGAACTGCTAGGTTGGCAGGAGCTGGGACAGAGCAACTGGAGCTCATCTCATTGCAGGGATTCGAACCACCGACCTTCTGATCGGCAAGCCCAAGAGGCTCAGTGGTTTAGACCTCAGCACCACACACACACACACTGCTTGGCTCCACAGCTTGAATCAGCCTTCCCTGACCCCATTGTTCGGTTCTGCTTACCTTGCCGGGAATTTAATGTGATCAACATCCAGGTTCCCAAATACACTGACAACCGCTAGCAGCACACTCCTGTACATATCTACTCAAAGGAAAATGTCATTAAGAATTTCATCACATGAATCAAACTGATTTGTACTAATCCTACAGCCTCAATATTTGTAAATAAGGTAGAATTTTAAAACTGCAGACTCAACAAGGAGGGTCATTGACACCACTGTGATTCAACATTTGGATATAAGTAATGGTGGAGGAGGGACGCGCGTGGCGCTGTGGGTTAAACCACAGAGCCTAGGACTTGCTGATCAGAAGGTCGGCGGTTCGAATCCCCGCAACGGGGTGAGCTCCTGTTGCTCGGTCCCTGTTCCTGCCAACCTAGCAGTTCAAAAGCACATCAAAGTGCAAGTAGATAAATAGGTACCGCTCCGGCGGGAAGGTAAACGGCGTTTCCGTGCGCTGCTCTGGTTCGCCAGAAGCGGCTTAGTCATGCTGGCCACATGACCCGGAAGCTGTACGCCGGCTCCCTCGGCCAATAAAGCGAGACGACGGCCGCAACCCCAGAGTCGGCCATGACTGGACCTAACGGTCAGGGGTCCCTTTACCTTTTAATGGTGGAGGAGGCCGTCAGAATGGACCTGATAATTATCAAGGATGCAAATAATAGGTAATCATTCAAAATGCAAATTATTTTGAGGGATTCAGAGAAATCATTTGAAACAAGCTTGCTCAATGAATTTGGGCAGATTTCAAACTGTTACTGTGCAAAGATCAGAGTGGTTTGTTTATCATATGCCAGAGGAATATGAAAGATAATATTGTGAAAAGATATTGAATTCCACGGAGAAAGACCCCCCAATAGATACCTGGGGATTTGGATTACCCAAGATCTGGAAGATTTAATTCAATATAATCACTCCAAACTGATGCAGGAAGTAAGAAAAAACTGATCCAGCTGGGAAGGCATAAATCTCTTGTGGCTGGCTTGGTTATAAAAATGAATAGAAAGCCTCGTATTTTCTTCCTATGATTAAATATAATGTTAAAAGTAAATGATTGTTTAATTTAAAAATGGCAAGGTCTTTGGTTTATCTTTTTATGGGCAGGCAAGGAACTTAGAGCTACATCCAAAATGCTCTATCAGCAAAAATAAATAAATAAAAAGTCAGAGGGCTGGCATTTCCTAATGCAAAATATTATTGTGCTGCTATGCTTGGACATTAAAGATGAGGCTTGAAAGTTCAGCTGTTACAGGAAGAAGTGAACAAACTGGTCTGTCTACTGGGGAAAAAAATCTTTGATGTACTGTATTAGCAGGAATATGGTTTGAAGCTCAACATCAAAAAAACGAAGATCATGGCCAGTGGGCCCATCACCTCCTGGCAAATAGAAGGGGAAGAAATGGAGGCAGTGAGAGATTTTACTTTCTTGGGCTCCATGATCACTGCAGATGGTGACAGCAGCCACGAAATTAAAAGACGCCTGCTTCTTGGGAGAAAAGCAATGACAAACCTAGACAGCATCTTAAAAAGCAGAGATATCACCTTGCCAAGAAAGGTCCGTATAGTTAAAGCTATGGTTTTCCCAGTAGTGATGTATGGAAGTGAGAGCTGGACCATAAAGAAGGCTGATCGCCAAAGAATTGATGCTTTTGAATTATGGTGCTGGAGGAGACTCTTGAGAGGCCCATGGACTGCAAGAAGATCAAACGTATCCATTCTGAAGGATATCAGCCCTGAATGCTCACTGGAAGGACAGATCCTGAAGCTGAGAATCCAATACTTTGGCCACCTCATGAGAAGAGAAGACTCCCTGGAAAAGACCCTGATGCTGGGAAAGATGGAGGGCACAAGGAGAAGGGGATGACAGAGGATGAGATGGTTGGACAGTGTTCTTGAAGCTACCAGCATGAGTTTGACCAAAATGCGGGAGGCAGCGGAAGACAGGAGTGCCTGGCGTGCTCTGGTCCATGGGGTCATGAAGAGTTGGACACGACTAAACAACAACAACAACAATTAGCAGGAAGGATTTCACAGTTATAAATTCAAACCCTATTAGGGATGTTTGTGCAGTTTTTGAAAAGTTTAAAAGCAAGCGTAGTCTGGGACTATCTATCTATCTATTGATAGATTATCAGGAGAAATGAAGCTATGGGAGAGAAACAGGTTCATAGAACCTGAGGGCTATGGTGTGTGTGTTGTTGTTTTTTTAAAGGGATTAGCAATAAATATATGACTGATTTAAACATGAAAGGGGTTGAGAACAGTTTTCTTTTATTTAAAATCCAGAGTTATGGATCGGCAAATATATCAATTTCAGTTTCTCATTTTTCCAATCTTCCGCATCAGTTTGTGAATACTCATTGTATATATTTTTTTAACTGTTTAGAGACTATGGTGCTAAGTGGTATATAGATTGTTATGGGCAATAAATGAAATAAATCATTGGTGTGGGTGGGTAGGTGTACTCCTATCCTCACACATACACCTAACAGTGCTATATTTATAGAAAAAGAGGTGCCAGAACACACCATGAACACCTCTCTTGTTCTCTTATAATGGCAATGGCACCCACCTGAGAGGTGCCAGAACTGAGTTCCAGTGAGTTCCTGCTAAAACAAAAGCCCTGTACATACATATAAAGAAAATCCCATAAATGGGGAGGGGTTAAAGTGGGGAACTAGATACAGGATTGTAGCCCTAAGTGCCTAATTGAAATAGATTTCGCATTACCTCATATCCCTTTAATGAAATGTGCTACATAGAACAACGTGCTACATGGTGAAAAAGAAGGACCATAGATTGGAAGGGACCCTGAGGATCACATAATAATAATAATAATAATAATAATAATAATAATAATAATAATATATTATTTATACCCCATGCATCTGGCTGGGGAAACCCACTCTGGGCGGCTCCCAACAGAAAATCAAAAACACGATAAAACATCAAACATTAAAAACTTCCCTAAACAGGGTTGCCTTCAGATGTCTTCTGAAAGTCAGATAGTTGGTTGTTTATTTGACATCTGATGGGAGGGCGTTCCACAGGGCGGGTGCCACGACCAAAAAGGCCCTCTGCCTGGTTCCCTGTAACTTGGCTTCTCACAGTGAGGGAACCACCAGAAGGCCCCCTGAGCTGGACCTCAGTGTCTGGGCTGAACGATGGGGGTGGAGACGCTCTGTGCTGGTCCCAGGGGCTAACCAAGAGGCAAGGTCAGAGTCCAGTCCGAGGTCGATGGTGCGGTATGGAGGCTGTCCGTCGAAGCTGTAGCTGCGTCCAAGGCAGGGAGTTGGGTGAGGTCAGGAACTCTGGCAGAAGAGCAGGACAGGGTACAGGCAGAAACAGGCTAGCAACAACGTTGCTCCCGCAACCTGGGACTGGGGCTGGCCAGCTTTTATCTGCCCCGAGGCATAGGGCGGCCCCAGTCCACAGGTGACTCGCCTCTCCTGGCCAGAAGGCGAGCACTCCTCCTGTGGGAACTTAGTTCCCTCCACCTCTCTGCCCTGAGCCTCTGTAGCTCAGGAGAGGCTGGAGGGTTACCGGACCCAGAGGCAACCTCCTCTTCCCCTGACGGGGCTGAGAGTGGAGCACCTGCAGGCAATGGGTCCTCCATCCCCTCAGGGGCCAGAGCAGACTCAGCTGGTGCCTGCACCTGAGGATCCAGTGCAGGTGAGGACCCTTCAGGCTCAAGCCCCAGCCCGGCTCAGCTGGTTCTGGAGGTGGGGACTCCTGTGCAGGCTGGGATTCCTCAGGTTCAGCCTCTGAGTCTGAAACCCAGGCCATCACATGCTCCTTCAGGTATATCTAGTCCAACCCCCTGAAATGCAGGAATATGCCGCTGTCCAAAACAGGGATCAAACCTGCAACCTTGACATTATCAGCACTATACACTAACCAACTGAGCTCTCCCGGCCCAGCCTGCTCTTGTGCCCCTATCTGCAGCCTGAAGTGCAGAAATCAGCAGGGGGAGCTTTGAACGTCACAGAGACAAAGACGATCACCCGATCACTTTTGCGCAAGAAGCCCCTGTTAAAAACACCACCTACGACTGTCAGCTGTAAAGTTGGCAATCCTACGGCTCCAGGAAGTTCCATTTGACAGCTTTCTGTTCTTAATCCAATTGAGAGCAATAAAAGTAATCACATCCTGCAAGCCCTGATTTTGCCACCAGTTAATTATAAATGTGTTCCGAGTTCTCCAGTAAACCTGGGAGGTTCTGCGATGCCTCTCCCATGCTGTGCAACAAACCGCACAGTGATACTTATTAAAAGAGAGGTGGATCCTCATTAAGTAAGCTCGTCGCTCCATTAAAAACACACACAGGGAGAAACACACCGAGTGAGAACAAGGGACATTTTCTTCCACTTCCTTTACTGCTCTCAGAAGCTCGGAAGATTCCAGGTTTAATGCTTTTTAAATTATAGCTCTCCACGGTCACTGCATGTTTGGTCTTGGGTTGCTGGAATGTGGCAATGGCACTCCCAAGAAAAGAAAGGCAACAAGAGAAGATTTGCCACTAAAGGCAGCTCCACAGTATACAGTTAGAGGTGTTATTGAGTTTGGGGGGACCCCCCTAAACCCTAGAAATTGATAAGTGGTAGGATTTTGATGAATTGGGATACGGGTGAAAGTACAAGCGGAATAGGAGAAAATTATAATCTAAAAAACCATTGTGAACAGCTAAAATCGTTAGTGGGATTGGAATAACACTTGTAGTTTAATGGTAAATTTTGGACATAATGGAGATGCAAAAAAGTATTAGACATCACCCCAGAATTGTCCCCAGTAAACATCTTCCAAGACAACAATGCCCATTTACACCACAAAGAACTCATAACCCACCTACTTTCAGCAGCCAGAAACACCATAACCAGACACTGGAGAGACCTGTCAGGAATAAACATGGACCAATGGTACCAAATAGTATGGGAAACAACCCTACTAGAAAAATTAACCAATAAAATGAAACTGACATGGGGACAAATAGAAGAAGACGCCTTCACCCCGGTATGGCTCCCCTTTATCACATACACAGCCCAACAAGACAATGACAATAACAGCATATAAATCAATATAGCTAACCTGATCCAAAACACCCACCCCACTCACACACAAAAACAAAAATCACCACAGCCCACCACAAACAAACAACCACACCCTAGGCCAACCCCAACCTCTCTCACCACCAAAGGAACACAAGCGAACAGCAGAGAACCAGCACGAGTAACGCTGACACCAAACCCTACATACATTAAGCAAAATAGAAACATCGCCACCCGACCCCACCCATCTTCCCCCCCTCCACCCCTTTTCTTCCTAATGTCTCAACAAATGAAACTGATTTGTAAAAATGTTACATGGGAAAAATACGAGAGACATTACACATACATCTGTAAAACAAGAAAATCTTTAATAAAAAAAAATGGAGATGCAAAAGATCTGGATTATTATAAAATATGCAGGAGGAAAGGACTAACAATAGGACCCACAAAGGGGAGGGGGGAAGTCCGGGAGATACTTTTTTAATTTGAAAAACCCAAATAAATAAATTAGCAAAAAAGGAAAGAAAGAAAGAAAGAAAGAGCTGTAGAACTGTGCCAAACAAGGAATCCATGGGTTAGCTTATGCAAAGCAGCTGTCTGTTAACATGACAAAAGGGTTGATGGGCTATCCGAGAGGAATCCTATGGCCTGGGGGGACAGATGTTGTCAGGGTGATGGGGTGTGTGTTTGAAGTGACTGGAAAAGAGAGATTTTTGAGCAAGGGGTGCTGGGAAGAAGAAGAAGAAAGACTGGGATCCATCTTGGGCAGGTTGGCTGAAGGCTGGCTGCACTGCTGTGGGGGGACAAGCCCCTCTTGCAATGAATGACCTGCTGTAAGATCTGGACTCCCTCCATGCACATTGCAAACAAATTAAAACATTAGCAGGATTGATGTATAGACCCGTGCAGCAAGAGTCAGCTAGGGAGAACCTAAGGGGGAATTAGTAAATAGATTTTAACTGGATATGCAGCAATAAAAGGATATAAAAGAAATAACTGCAGAAAGGAGGGGAGGCAAGTCAAAGGAAAGTAAATTGGATTTGCAAAGATTTTTTTTGTTCAAAATAGAAAAAATGAAAAATGAAATTATAAAAAAACCTGAACGAGATAATAATAATAATAATAATTTTTATTTATTTATTTGCACCCTGCCCATCTGGCTGGGTTTCCCCAGCCACCCTGGGTGGCTTCCAACAAAATATTAAAATACAATAGTCTGTTAAACATTAAAAGCTTCCCTAAGCAGGGCTGCCTTCAGATGTCTTTTAAAAGTCTGGTAGTTGTTTTTCTCTTTGACATCTGGTGGGAGGGCGTTCCACAGGGCGGGTGCCACTACCGAGAAAGCCCTCTGCCTGGTTCCCTGTAACTTGGCTTCTCGCAGTGAAGGAACTGCCAGAAGGCCCTTGGCGCTGGACCTCAGTGTCCGGGCAGAACAATGGGGGTGGAGATGCTCCTTCAGGTATACTGGACCGAGGCTGTTTAGGGCTTTAACGGTCAGCACCAACACTTTGAACTGTGCTCGGAAACATTCCTATAAAACCACCAAGCTACAGCCCTTCCCAAATAACCTAAAGGAAAGAATTCCACGCTGCAGCATTTTGTTGCAGATTCCATATGCTAATACTAAAGGAAAATGTTGACTTCCCTGAGTAGTGATCTGGCAATCCAGTTTCTCACAATAGCCTTCTGGAGTTAGTAGTTGTTCAGAAGAGGCAACTGTTTCAGGGGCATGGTCTCACACATAGGCGACAGAACTTCCCCCAGACCTTCTCTTTTGCACAATTCCTAAAAGCAGAGATGGCCCGTCCTCCATTGCATCTGGTCACCCTTAATTTATGCCACCGTTTGGCTTCTTTGAGATGGCATGACTTACCTAACTCCACCCTGCTGGGCCTTAGAGGCTTTCTCACCAACTTGCTTCCTGGTATTGAGGCTGCTAGTTGTGTGGTTTCCAGTTTGATCACCTGCAAGTGATATCACACACACACACACACACACACACACACACACCTGCTCTGGATCTCTTCCATCAACCAGGCAGCCTTTGATTTGACCACATTGATCTTTGAACGCTGCATTGGCAAAGTAGGACTCTTCCTTGCCTTTATTCAAAGTATCATATCTCTGGGTTCCATCTTGAAAGAAACTTACATGATTAATGGGTCCTGTTCTTCTCCTTGAAACCACCAGCTCATTTGCCTTTGTGAACTGGGCTACAGAAGACAACCCAGTGATCTGATCTTGTGCAAGACGCAACAACATTCCCAAGACTGTATTCTCCTGGGATTCTATGGTGGAAAGGCACAGCTACTGGAGGAAGAAAAGACACCAAATGCCCCAGACCAGGGGTGATAGCCCTTGTGGGCAATCTTCTGGGGTTGATGAGAAGTGTGTCTGGCAGCCGTGTAGGTGCCAGGCTATTTTTCACTCTTTGTTGTTGTTTAGTCGTTTAGTCGTGTCCGACTCTTCGTGACCCCATGGACCAGAGCACGCCAGGCACTCCTGTCTTCCACTGCCTCCCGCAGTTTGGTCAAACTCATGCTGGTAGCTTCAAGAACACTGTCCAACCATCTCGTCCTCTGTCGTCCCCTTCTCCTTGTGCCCTCCATCTTTCCCAACATCAGGGTCTTTTCCAGGAGTCTTCTCTTCTCATGAGGTGGCCAAAGTATTGGAGCCTCAGCTTCAGGATCTGTCCTTCCAGTGAGCACTCAGGGCTGATCTCCTTAAGAATGGAGAGGTTTGATCTTCTTGCAGTCCATGGGACTCTCAAGAGTCTCCTCCAGCACCATAATTCAAAAGCATCAATTCTTTGGCGATCAGCCTTCTTTATGGTCCAGCTCTCACTTCCATACATCACTACTGGGAAAACCATAGCTTTAACTATACGGACCTTTGTTGGCAAGGTGATATCTTTGCTTTTTAAGATGCTGTCTAGGTTTGTCATTGCTTTTCTCCCAAGAAGCAGGCGTCTTTTAACTTCGTGGCTGCTGTCACCATCTGCAGTGATCATGGAGCCCAAGAAAGTAAAATCTCTCACTGCCTCCATTTCTTCCCCTTCTATTTGCCAGGAGGTGATGGGACCGGTGGCCACGATCTTCTTCTTTTTTTATATTGAGCTTCAGACCATATTTTGCACTCTCCTCTTTTACACTCATTAAAAGGTTCTTTAATTCCTCCTCACTTTCTGCCATCAAGGTTGTGTCATCTGCATATCTGAGGTTGTTGATATTTCTTCCGGCGATCTTAATTCCGGCTTGGGATTCATCCAGCCCAGCCTTTCGCGTGATGAATTCTGCATATAAGGTAAATAAGCAGGGAGACAATATACAGCCTTGTCGTACTCCTTTCCCAATTTTGAACCAATCAGTTGTTCCATATCCAGTTCTAACTGTAGCTTCTTGTCCCACATAGAGATTTCTCAGGAATTAATGGATTATGCAGAACTTGATAAATTAACAGGGAGGATCCAGAACCGACGAGACCAGAAATTCACTGAGGACTGGAATAAATTTACAGACTATATGAAAAGTTTATGTGATGATCAGATAACGTTTGTAAGTTTTCAGGAAGCTCTGTGAAAACGTATAGTAGAAATATTGTTTAAAAAACAAGGCAAAATAAGATATTAATGTAGTGCAATATTAAATTAAGAAATGTGGAAGAAGTGAGCAAAACGGAGAATTATCAGACATGCTGATGGAAGTCCAAAAAGAGGATGTTGGTGATAAATTGGATGTTTTGTTTTGTACAATTTTATATTGGAAAATTAATAAAAAATATATACCAAAAAAAAATAGAGATTTCTCAGGAGACAGATGCACTCTAGGCAAGGCTAACTACTTGCACACCCACCCAAAATTGCTAATTTCAATTTTCAAAAACAGATGTAGTAAACAATGAAAAGCACAAACCTTGAAACTGCTAAAATTGTTTTAAATTGCAAGAATAAGAAATACAACCTCAGAAGTAGAACAGAATCCGTTCCGGAAGTCCGTTCAACTTCCAAAATGTTTGGAAACCAGGGCACCTCTTCTGATTGGCTATAGGAAGCTCATGCAGCCAATCGGAAGCCGCGTTGGATGTTCGGATTCCAAAGAAAGTTCACAAACTGGAACACTCACTTCCGTGTTTGTGGCGTTCGGGTTGATTCGCAAAGCGTTCCAGATCCAAGGTACAACTGTACAACAATCTTCGATCTTTCTTAAATACAAAAGAATGTGTTTTAGCACACAAATCATTTAGAATAACCTTGTGAATATAAACCCACCTTTCAAAATGTTTGAGGTATGGGGTGAAGAGTGGTTAGAATGCATCCCTTAATAATTCCACCCAGTTTACTGCATGCGAGGCTATGTTGTGCCAGGTGCTAAATTTAGTTAATGAGCAGATTAATCAAGTTACAGTTATACGTCCCTTCGATTTAGAGCAATTTATACACTGCCTTATCCCTCAGGCTCAGAATGTTTATGGTGTTGTTAAAGAAGTTAAGGAGAGATGAAGGGAAATATACTAGAAATTTTAGCTTCAATGCCACCGGTTTCAGAAGGAGAGATTTAAGCCTGTCTTCAACTTAGGGTGGCAACTGGAACGGAGGAAAGGGGAGAAATTAGATTCAGGTCACATTTTAAAGGCAAACGTACCTAATCGGCACTTTCCAAAGTTATCCGTGAGTCGGAACACAACCATCTGTCAAAAATTGCACATCTCCAAATTTTGCAGGGCAGTTTTCCAGCCAATTAATTTGCACTAGGATATAGAGTATGCATAAAATGCACATCTTGTTTAAAACTACATACAAAAATGATGCGACAGCAGCAGCAAGAATACTCATTGAGAAATATTGGAAGACACAAGAATTGCCTACCCGAGAAGAATGGCAGATGAAAGTGATGGACTATATGGAACTGGCTGAGATGACCGGCAGAATTCGAGACCAGGAAAAAGGGTTGATGGAAGAAGACTGGAAAAAATTTAAAATATATCTTCAGAAATACTGTAATCTAAAAGAATGTTAGAAAAAGGTTGGAAAAGAATATTAGGCCGCATTGGCAGACATAGTATAATGGAATAAGTAAAAATGAAGTGTAAAATGAGGATAGAGGAGGATTAAATAATTTCGAATGTTAAAATAAGTAAAAGAAAAGAAGGTTAGAAGGATTTGCTGGAGATACGATCTAAATTAGAATACAAAGCAGGAGGTGAGAGGAAGTCATGGAAATAAGTAAAAGGGAAAAAGGTTGTAAAGGTCTAACTTTTATTGTTATTCTTTATTGTGATGCATGTTTATTCTTTGTTGAGTTTTTTTTTCTTTTTTATTGTCTGTTTTTTGTAACATGTGTATGGTTTGTTTTTTCTTCTTTTTTGTAACTTTAAATCTGGAATAAATATTTTTTTTAAAAAAAAATAAAACTACATACAAAAATGCATTCTATTAGAGGGAACTGCTTTGCAAAAATGTGTGTATTGGATGCAAAAATGCATACAAAAATAAATTCGCATTAAACTGCTGGTGAATTTTCACAAGGCCTTTTTTTAAAATCACAAACTGATGTGGAAATGTACCTTATTTTTTGCTCTATAAGACTCACATTTTCCCTCCTAAAAAGTAAGGGGAAATGTGTGTGCATCTTATGGAGCGAATGCAGGCTGCGCAGCTATCCCAGAAGCCAGAAGAGCAAGAGAGATTGCTGCTTTCACTGCACAGCGATCCCTCTTGCTGTTCTGGCTTCTGAGATTCAGAATATTTTTTTCTTGTTTTCCTCCTCCAAAAACTAGGTGCGTCTTGTGGTCTGGTGCATCTTATAGAGCGAAAAATATGGTAGTTAAAGTTGAAATTGGGAAAACAAGAAACCAGATCTGACAGATTTCCCCCATCCCTGCTTGTGCCCTATTAAAGGGAGAGGGGGAGAGAGTAAAAGAGGAGACAGATTTGCAGAACAATTGCATATGCTAATTTTTATTTATAGTTGCTAATTCAAAAATAGTTATCATCACTAGTCTGCTATCTATGTGCTAGGCAGCTAGCTTCAAGGCTCCCACTCTCCTTTCTTCACTTCAGATGTCTTCTAAAAGTCAGATAGTTGTTTATCTCCCTGAAGGGAGGGTGTTCCATAGGGAGGGCACCACTACTGAGGAGGCCCTCTGCCTGGTTCCCTGTAACCTCACTTTTCGTAGTGAGGGAACTGCCAGAAGGCCCTTGGAGCTGGACCTCAGTGTCTAGGCTGAACTATGAGGGTGGAAACACTCCTTCAGGTATACTGGGCCTTAAAACCAGACCAACTATGCAGGCTGTTTAGTACAACAGAGTGGCTGTGTGTTCTGCTTTACAGAGGGTAGTTTTCACAGGCGAGCCAGCAGTAAATCACACTGTGCAGGTTGAAGTTAACTCTTCATTTGCAAGAACATGGGGGGGTGTTACCGTGCGGCGTGGTCCGTGTCTGGTCCGAGGCTAAAGCGGGGTCCAAGGCAGGGAGTCAGGCGTGGTCAGGAACTTTGGTAGAAAGCAGGACAGGGTGCCGGCAGGAACAGGTAACCAACGCTGTTGCTCCCGCAACCTGGGACTGGACAGGCTGGCCTTTATCTCCTCTGAGGCATAGGGCGGCCCTGGTCCACAGGTGACTCACCTCTCCTGGCCTGGAGGCAAGCACTCCTCCTGCGAGAACTTAGTTCCCTCCGCCTCTCTGCCCTGAGCCTCTGCAGCTCAGGAGAGGCTGGAGGGTTACCGGACCCAGAGGCAACCTCACCTTCCCCTGACAGGGCTGGGAGAGGAGCACCTGCAGGCAATGGGTCCTCGATCACCTCCGGAGCCAGAGTGGATACATCTGGTGTCTGCTCCTGAGGATCCGGCACAGGTGCAGGCGCTTCAGATTCAAGCCCCTGCCCCGGCTCAGCCAGCCCTGGAGGCGGGGACTCCTGTGCAGGCTGGGATTCCTCAGGTTCAGCCTCTGAGTCCGAATCCCAGGCCATCACACAGAATGTCAGGCCTAACAGCCATCTAAGTTTCCTTGCCTCCAGGGTTTCCCCCCAAGCAATCTGAGATTTAGCCTCTGTGAAGCCAACCTCTCCTCCAACCTTTTAATGCCTCTTCTGGTTCTGGGAAATAAGAGGGGAATGAAGCTTGCTCATTATTGTCCTACCAGCAGTATCACTTTTTGTGATGTCACATGCCAGCAATGTCATGTGCTAGTGATGTCATAATCGTGTACGTTTCCTTAACTCTCACGGCTGTAGCTGCTCCTGGCAAGTGGGGGCACTATGTGATCAAGACTGGACCTACCATTAAGCAGAGTGAGGCAGTGGCAGGAGTAAGCCAGCAGTAAATCACACTGAGCAAATTGGAGTCAACTCTTTATTCGCAAACACAGGATCTACACAGGAATGTCAGCCCTAATGAGTACAGCAGCTCATCTCTGGCAGGTCTTGTTGCCATGAAACATTTGCTGAGACTGAAGGTTCCCCCCTCCCCACAGCTGCCTGTCCCTTCCTCCCCATTGTTACTCCCAAGCAATCTGAGACGCTGCCTACGTGAAGATAACTTTGCCTCCGCCCTCTTCATGACTCTTCTGGTTCTGGGAGATCAGCTGCAAGGGGAGCTTGCCACAGCAGGAGGGGGAGACACCTGTTCCTCTTCACCAGCTGGACTAATCTCTGCCTCTTCGCCTCCCTCCTCCCCTGATTCAGCTTCTGCCTCTGATGCTCTGCCACAGATTCTCCCAGCTCACTAAGCCCTGTTACCTCTCCAGCTTCTGACACCTCCTCTTCCAGGTCTTCTCCCTCTGACCACTCATTATCGTCCCACCACCAGTCCCTGGGCTCTGAGCCTTCTTCCCTTGATGGTTCCCCAGCTGGTTCCTCCCAGCATTCCTCTGCATCCAGCCAGCCCAACAATATTCCTACGTTTGAAGGGCTACCCAGTTTAAAGAAAAACCATAAGATGGGAGAGCAAGGACCTTGAATGCACCTGGGCAGCAGACTAGCCGCCTAGTCACAACCATCTCCACCATGGTGAGATATTTTGTATAGCTCTGTTTTAAGTTACAGTAATCACTTCAAATTTTGCATCTCCATATATGTATGCATACATTATTTATAAATTTAAATATTTTATGTGTGTATAAATCAGCACATGCAAAATTTATGCATACCTGTGTCCTTCTTTGTCATATTTTGGGGATGGGATTATGCTCCCCCCTCTTCTCTCTCTCTCTCTCTCTCTCTCTTTCTCTCTCTTGGCTATGTATAAACAGCCACTTTATGGCTGAGTCCAGGAAAATCTTTGATTGTGCCGAGCATACAAATGGGTTCAGTTTTAATCACAGTGGTTCATAATGGGATTTTTTTTCCCCCTTTGCAGATCATTCCTGTAAATATTCATCTTTCAAGATAGAGAATAACATCACAGCCACGTTCTTCCTCTGGAGAGGCTGAGATGTAGAAACAACTTAAAATTGTACGCAAACACTTTTATTTATGAGCACTGGGCTCCTAGCTGTTCCTTTGCTGGGAGAAAAGAAAGAGAGCTTCATTTGAAAATAGCTCATTCAGTAGCTAGCCTTTCCGCCTGACTAACTTCACACTTTATCTTTCCATTCATATATGAGCTTTTATGTTTCCGAGGGCTAAATCGGAATGCGAGCCACAAAGAAAATCAAATTGTTGTCTCAAAGAAAGGTGCATGTATAATAGCTCAGAGTCTTTATTGATGGCATGTGCTGTTTGCATCTCTCTTCAAACGCTCAAGTCCTCTCGGATAATTTATGGACCTTCTCCTCTTTGCAGATGTGAAATATATTAAGGCCTCCCAGAAACAATCCTTTAAAACAATCTCGTAGGGAAGGCAAATGAAAGCACTGAATCTTTACCAGTTTCAAAAGGTGATCTATATCCAAATTAAGCAAGGCAGGTCTCTTCCCTTGTTCTCTCCCTTCCCAAATAAGCCCTCGGGGCTTTGCAAAAGACAGGGAAATTAAGTGACAAACCCAAATCGATACTTCAAAATGGCCTCTTTGTTTGCTCAAATGCATACCCTCTAACGTTTCTCCGATGAAAATAGGAATAGCCTAAGGAAAAGCGGGACATTCCAGGATCAAATTTAAAAACTGGGACAGCTTCTGTGAATCCAGGACTGTCCCTGGCAAGTAAAAATGCTTGAATACATGGAACTAGCATATATGATGGAACAGATCAGAGATCGATCAACCCAAAAGTTCAAAAGAGAATGGGAGATCTATAGACAATATTTAAAAGAACACTGTCCCCATATAAAAACTTTAGAATGCTTCAAATAACTCTCAGAATTGGTTAAGGTATAGAGAAGTCAAACAAGATTTAATAAAGGCAAAGTTTATTGAAAAATAGTAAAAGGGTAAAAGGACCCCTGACCAGGACTCTGGGGTTGTGGCGCTCATCTCGCTTTATTGGCCGAGGGAGCCGGTGTACAGCTTCCGGGTCATGTGGCCAGCATGACTAAGCCGCTTCTGGCGATCCAGAGCAGTGCACAGAAACACCGTTTACCTTCCCGCCAGAGCGGTACCTATTTATCTACTTGCACTTTGTTGTGCTTTCGAACTGCTAGGTGGGCAGGAGCAGGGACCGAGGAACGGGAGCTCACCCCCTCACAGGGATTCGAACCGCCCACCTTCTGATCGGCAAGCCCTAGGTTCTGTGGTTTAACCCACAGTGCCACCAGTGTCCCTATTGAAAAACAGAGGCAAGTAATTAGGAAAACAAAGAACCCATATCAAGGAAGTCGGAAGTTGATGGTCGGAACATTTTTGTGAATTTGTGATGTATTGTTCTACTATTTTTTGTTTGTAAGAGATGTGTCGTGCTTCTTTTGTTCCGTCTTCTTTTCTTTTTCGTCTTTTTCTTTTTAGAAAACTTTTGTTTTGTGTGTATGTTTTGATTTTAAACTAATAAAGATTTTTTTTGTTTTTAAAAAAAGAACTCTGATGACGCCTCTTGCATGCCAAGATGTAAGACAGAGTGTCTCTGAGGGTGGGTACAAACTAGTCTGCTGTACAACATTAAGATTTACATTCATTTTTGCATCTATCTGCACCTCTATTGGCATGTGGTCCCTGGAAGCAGAGCCGGCCCACTAATGAGGCAAAGTGAGGCAACTGCCTCTGGCAGCAGAATCCACAGGGACAGCAAATCTCAATGTAGAAATTTACTCCTTCTTTGTTCCCAGTATAGATCTTCTCTTAGCCCTTATTCCCTGGCAGAGGGAGACGCTATTTTGTGGCTCCCTTCAGGTGCTAAGAAGTAAGGGTAAAGGTAAAGGACCCCTGGATGGTTAAGTCCAGTCAAAGGCGACTATGGAGTTGTGGCACTCATCTCACTTTCAGGCTGAGGGAGCCGGCATTTGTCCACAGACAGCTTTCCGGGTCATGTGGCCAGCATGACTAAACCGCTTCTGGCGCAACAGAACACCGTGACGGAAACCAGAGCGCACGGAAACGCCATTTACCTTCCCGCCGCAGCGGTACCTATTTATCTACTTGCACTGGCGTGCTTTCGAACTGCTAGGTTGGCAGGAGCTGGGACAGAGCAACGGGAGCTCACCCTGTCGCACGGATTTGAACTGTCGACCTTCTGATCGGCAACCCCAAGAGGTTCAGTGGTTTAGATCACAGCGCCTTAACCTTTACCTGCTAAAATGTGTTGGGCCATTGTCCAGAAAGACCATATTAAACCATAATAAACAAATCTATTAAACCATAATAAACAAATCTGCTCTCAGGGGAGAAAGGTTACTCACCCTGCTAGTGTCAATGCCCTTGTGAGAAGAAAGCACAGGAAGTTTATGGTTTTTAATTATTTTAATTAAGGCAGGTAGCGACCATTTTGTGTGGGGGTTTCATCCACCTGTTCCTCAGAGCAACCTGCATGTCTGTGGAACACTTATTGTTCCAAGAATGCAGTCAAGAATTTTAGCTGCTGATGTTTTTGCCCCACCTGGATATATATGCGGGGAGATTGCAACTCCACAAATGAGGCACCACAGGTAAATTCTGGATGGAAAGGCACTGGCAGATCTGAAATGCTCCGTTTCTTTTTTGCTTCCATGAAAACTGACCGTTTTTTTACTTTTCTCCCTCCCCCCCCCCGTCCCCATGCTCTACATTTTTTAATTTTTTTGCATTAGAATACTGATAGGGGGTTAATTAAAATGGCCGGATCTTAATAGTTTTACATAAGCCACAAATTATTTCCATTCCAAAACATTGCGGGATACCGGGGCATTGGCAATTCCTTCCATTCCATCCCCCCCCACTTCAAGAAGATTAGCCTTCAGCATCTATATAAGGTGTCAAGTAAGAAACCTGCAGGCAGGGGGGGCAGAATGAACATTTCTCTGTGTTTACCTCAAAGCTACTTTTCTGTCACTCGCTCCACACATTTTGAAGATTTATTTCCACGTTCCTGTTATCCAAATGTCATCTAAACACAATACAACTCTGTTCAAACCCTCAAACACCCGATTTAGCTTGGGAGGGGAATGAGCAGAGCAAGAATATTAGCTGTTTCATTTGGTTGTCTCAGCCCTCACAAAATCGGGCCCTTCTTAGTCCTGTTGGTTTAAAACACACACACACAAACACAGGGACAGTCATTATATGGAAACATCACTGCTGCAGACAGCCAGATTGTTGACATCACATCATGCGCCTATCTGTGGGAAAGAAGAGTTTCCCAGGATGTTCACAGGCTGGATAAATCTTTGTGAAGAGAGTTGCTAAGCGTAACACTACATTTCCTAACCAAGGTAATGCAGATGCACTCATTCCTTGGAAAACAGACAACCAGAGAGTTACATTGGTGAAACCAGTGGCGGATAGTTCCAAGGGTGGAACTGAAACAACAGGGGATTGTTATATATATAACAACTGTTTGTTTTCTTCTCTGGATCAAGCTTTGTCCGCAGCTAACGATGATTCATATGGGGGAGGATGGCAGTATATGGAAACATCACCGCTGCAGACAGCCAGATTGTTGACATCACATGATGCGCCTATCTGTGGGAAGAAGAGTTTCCAGGACGTTCACAGGCTGGATAAGTCTTTGTGAAGAGTGTAACTTGAAACCTTCTGCGTGCGCATGTTCAGGAAGTTTGACTGACTTGCTAGAAGAACTGAACTGAAAGGACGTGTTTTTCTCTAGTGCTGTAATGTCAGAAATAAACATCATGTAAATAGATTTCTGACTTATTTTCTTTCCCCTGCGGAAACAGGAGGGAGGGTTGTGCATTTACCACGCTGGGAAAATGTCGCCTATCAAAATCTCCCTGGTCTGTCCGAGATATCAGCCAGAGGAGGTTACCGGTAAGCAAGCTCCGAGGACAGTGAGAGGGGCCAGCCTCTATGGAGGGGGCTTGCAAACCAACATTCATGTGTCCTCACTGCAACTCCTTGAAAGGGATGGAGCAAATGCTTTGAATTCCTGGGTTTGATCCCCACCACCTTCACTTTTTAAGGGACGCGGGTGGCGCTGTGGGTTAAACCACAGAGCCTAGGACTTGCCGATCAGAAGGTTGGCGGTTCGAATCCCCACGACGGGGTGAGTTCCCGTTGCTCGGTCCTTGCTCCTGCCAACCTAGCAGTTTGAAAGCATGTCAAAGTGCAAGTAGATAAATAGGTACCGCTTCAGCGGGAAGGTAAACGGCGTTTCCGTGCGCTGCTCTGGCTTAGTCATGCTGGCCACATGACCCGGAAGCTGTACGCCGGCTCCTTCGGCCAGTAAAGCAAGATGAGCGCCGCAACCCCAGAGTCGGTCACGACTGGACCTAATGCTCAGGGGTCCCTTTACCTTTACCTTACCTTCCCTTTTTAAGGTAGAGCATGGTGTTTGACATACAGAAGGTCCCCAGTTCTGTACTAGGCACCTCCAGTTCAAAGCGTTCAGCAGGTGATGGGAAAGGCCCTTTTCTCCCCTGTCCTCTGGACAGCCACTGTGAACCAGAGTGAACAATATTGGGGGTTTCTTACATTTATTTATTTATACTTTTCAAGTTTCTACATTTCACTAGTTTTATACATTTCACTAATTTTACATTCATTTTGACATTTCAAAACTTGACGTCCATCCCCCTCTTTCTGAGGTTCCTTAAATTTGTTTTTAATATCTTCTGCATACCCAAATCAACTCAATTTGCTCATTTATTTGTCTTCTTTAAATATATACTCTTATAAAACTGCAAGTTGTTTCAATAATCCTGCCAATGTTTTTATCTGTTTATAATTTATCTGTAGTAGTAGTAGTAGTAGTAGTAGTAGTAGTAGTAATTTAGTATTTGTACCCCGCCCATCTGGCTGGGTTTCCCCAGCCACTCTGGGCGGCTTCCAACAAAGATTAAAAATACAGTAGTACCTCTGGATGCGAATGGGATCCATTCCAGAGACCCGTTCGCATCCTGAGCAGAACACAGCCCACGTCTGCGCATCTGCGCTTGTGCGGTCACAATTTGTCATTTCTGCGCATGCGCGTGACGTCATTTTGAGCGCATGCATGAGCGGCAAAACCCGGAAGTAACCCATTCCGTTACTTCCGGGTCGCCGCAGAATGCAACCTGAAAACTCTCAACCTGAAGTGTCTTTAACCAGAGATATGACTGTACATTAAAATGTCACACATTAAAAACTTCCCTGAACTGTAAATATTCAAGAAACTATTTCCATTCTTTTATATATATATAAATTGTTACCTTGATTTATTATTCTTCTGGTAAGTTTTGCCATTTCTGCATATTCCATACGTTTTTGTATCCCTTTGCTGGGACTTCTGCTTATTTCCATTTTGGGGCAAGTAACAACCTTGTCGTAGAGTGAACAATATTGAGCTAGATGGAACCTTCCTTACCCAACAATGGGTGGTTGCATGGGTGTGTTCAAGGCAGTTCCAGCACTTCTCAGTGGGCGCCATTGCTCCCGATAGAATAAGGGAGGCATTCATGGTGAATTCTGGCACTTCTTTTTCTAGAAAAATAACACTGACCGGCACCAATGGTTGCCATCCACCGCTGTGTTGCTCCTACCTATAGGATGATGCTCCTCTGCACATCGATTGGGGCGGGGGAGAGGAGCTGCCCATGTTGCACGAGGTCTCCCTCCTGCAACGGGCATATTGTGTATCCAACACAATAGCTTTTTTCCCCCACTTCGGCCATTCTCATAGTACTGCACGAAAAGGCTTCGACACGCAGGAACGGCTGTGAAAGGTAAAAAGGTAAAGGGACCCCTGACCATTAGGTCTAGTCGTGACCAACTCTGGGGTTGCGGCAAGGGAGCTGGCGTACAGCTTCCGGGTCATGTGGCCAGCATGACTAAGCCGCTTCTGGCAAACCAGAGCAGTGCATGGAAACGCCATTTACCTTCCCGCCGGAGCGGTACCTATTTATCTACTTGCACTTTCAAACTGCTAGGTTGGCAGGAGCTGGGACCGAGCAACGGGAATTCACCCCGTCGCGAGGATTCAAACCACCGACCTTCTGATCGGCAAGTCCTAGGCTCTGTGGTTTAACCCACAGCGCCACCCGTGTTAAAGGTACTGAGATCCCAAAGGAGCAGACATTTTTTTTATGTATGCGACAACAGCCGCACGGATGCTACTAGCCCAGAAATGGAAAGAAGATAAAGTCCCTAGCAGAGAGGAATGGCAAACTAGGATGATAGACTACGTCGAAATGGCAAAGCTGACCAGAAAGCTCAGGAACCAAGAAAACCCAAACTTTAATAAAGAATGGGGGGTATAATTTATTTAGGAGACCACTGTAAGCAGATGAAAACATTAGCAGGATTTTAGTAATACTTGGAATGTAGCAAATATCATGTAGCAAATATCAATAAAATTGAACGTTGGAAGATTCGGGGCAAATGAAAGAAAGGACTTCTTCATGCAGCACACAGTGAACCTATGGAACTCACTGCCACAGGACGCAGTGGTGGCTAACAACTTTGATGGCTTTTTGAAAAGATGAAACAAATCTGGCGGTCGTGGATCCTGTCCGATGCCCTGCTGGTGGCTAGGGCCATGGCACGACCCCTGGTGACGTCATGGGGGAGCTTCCAGTTGTATTTGCATCAACAAGCTCCTCCCATTGGCTGTTAACCCTGATATGACTCCTGGCTGTGTGGGGTGGAGTCTTGTGTTGCTGTTTCATCCAATGCCTAAGCCAATACTACTCACATGCTGTAACCAATAAAACTTGTGGCCTAATTTTGCCCATTAACCTAAAATAATGTGTCTGTGTGTCTTATTATAATCTTATGCAGGTGGAGGGTCCTCAACTCACAAAAGGTCCAGCAAACCCAGAGGTAGAAAGCACAGAGGATGCCTGCGTAGGAACAAAGAGAGTTTAAGAACTGAAAACTATTGACATTGCAACACCATTATACAAATCTATGGTGTGACAGTTCTGGTCACTTTCCCTTTGAAAGGATATTGTAGAGTTGGAAACGGTTCAGGAAAGGGGATGGAGAGACTCCCCCTAAGAGGAAAGGTTGAGGTGTTTGGGACGTTTTCCTTTAGAGGAAAAGGTGAGTAAGAAACAACATGATAAAAGTTCATAATTCTATGTATGGCCTGCAGAAAGCAGGCAGAGAAAGGTTCTTGTCCTTCTCTCATAATGCTGGTGATCGTGAACATACAATAAAATTCATGGAGGCTGTCAATGGCTCCTAGCCATGATGGCTGTTCTCTGCCTCTATGGTCAGAGACTGCAATGCTTCTGAATAACACTTGCTGGAAATTGCAGGAGGGCAGAGTGCTCTTTTGTTTAGGTCCTGCTTTCCCACTAGTATCTGGGTGGCCACTGAGAGAACAGGATGTTCTTCTTATGTTCTAAGGACCTCAGAGGTGCACTGGAAATGTTCTGTTTAGCCCAATGCATTTTGAGGCTCATGACTCTGAAAGGAAATTAAATGCAACCCGCTTAACAACTCCAAAACTCCTAACTTTAAAAAGCCACATGCACCATGAGAAATGAACATCAAAAACTAAAGTGCAACATACAGTGGTACCTCGGGTTAAGTACTTAATTCATTCCGGAGGTCCGTACTTAACCTGAAACTGTTCTTAACCTGAAGCACCACTTTAGCTAATGGGGCCTCCTGCTGCCACCGCACGCCGGAGCACGATTTCTGTTCTCATCCTGAAGCAAAGTTCTTAACCTGAAGCACTATTTCTGGCTTAGCGGAGTCTGTAACCTGAAGCGTATGTAACCTGAAGCGTATGTAACCTGAGGTACCACTGTAAAAATTTTATATATACAGTGGTACCTCGGGTTAAGAACTTAATTTGTTCTGGAGGTCTGTTCTTAACCTGAAATTGCTGTTAACCTGAGGTACCACTTTAGCTAATGGGGCCTCCCGCCGCCGCCATGCGATTTCTGTTCTCATCCTGAAGCAAAGTTCTTAACCTGAGGTACTATTTCTGGGTTAGCGGAGTCTGTAGCCTGAAGCGTCTGTAACCTGAGATACCACTGTATATAAAAAAGGAATGGCTGTGTTATGTATGGCTGTCAGGAAAGTTTCTGAAAGGCAAGGTCAAACCCGGCTGTCTTCAAACGGGGACTTCCCCGAAATGAGATCAAGCCCATTTTCAGCCTGGAGGGCTTTGTGATGCACATAAAGGGAACTTGAAGCAGCCAAGTCCTCATTTACATTGTGCTGACATCAGCAGCAGGTTACCCTGAACACACCTAGGCAACCACCCATTGTTGAGTAAGAAAGGAAAGGTGCCATGGTCCCAATTCTGCACTGCCTGATAAGAGGCACAGCATCAAAGGAAGGGGGTGGGAACATCACCCACTCCTTCTCCTTAGTAGCATTCGTTGCTGAAAGAATCAAAGAAGGGCTATCCCTCTTCTGACCTCTTAGCCGAGCCAACCTCTTCCAGGGTGAGTTCAGGAGTCTCCTTCACTGGCACAGTTAATCATATTTGACATTTTGATTTCCAGGTGATGACAGAACCGCAACACAAGCTCAGCTGCTTCAGAGGATGAGCTGGCTTCCAGATCAGGTATTAATTAGGTTCCCCCTGTGCACACACATCATTTTTAAATTAATGCTGCCGGGATCTAGTCCCATTCCATGCCTAGCCCCAGTTGAGAAACATGATGTTCAGTGGGGCACTGTGTGCCAGGCGTTGTGGGTCAAAATCAGTAGTGGAGGAAGTAATAATAATAATAATAATAATAATATATTTATACCCCAGCCACTCTGGGTGGCTCCCAACAAAATATTATTAGTAATAATAATAAAGAGATAAAACATCAAACATTTAAAAACTTCCCTAAACAGGGCTGCCTTCAGATGTCTTCTAAAAGTCAGATAGTTGTTTATTTCCTTGACATCTGATGGGAGGGTGTTCCACAGGGTGGGTGCCACTACCAAGAAGGCCCTCTGCCTGGTTCCCTGTAACCTCACTTCTTGCAGGGAGGGAACCGCCAGAAGGCCCTCAGAGCTGGACCACACACAACGGTTCTCTTTAATCATGTTGAAACTCCCCTTTATCTGACCCGAGACTGATATGACCATGTTTTGTGCTATGGCACAATAAATAATAATATTTTATTTTATTTTATTATTTTATATCTACACCAGCAGGTATCTGGGCAAGTTACAACAATTTAAAAAATCATAATTAAAAAAAATTAAGACATATTACATTTACAAGAATCCATGTTCTTTTATAATCAGCTTATTTACAGTATTTACTGCCAACCTAGCAGTTTGAAAGCATACTAGTGCGAGTAGATAACTAGGTACCACTGCAGCAGGAAGGTAAACGCCGTTTCCATACAGCATAGATGTACGGTATAATGATTTCCTGGGAATTGTCATGGTTCCTCCCACTGAATCCTGGGAACTGTAGTTTGGTGAGGATGCTGAGAATTCTCCCTTGCTCCCCCCACAACCTCCTAGAACTGCAATCCTCAGGATTTTCTGAGACATGGAAATGACTATTAAACCAACAGAAAATTGTTGTAAATCAGCCCAATGCCCAGTAGTGAAAGAAGGGGGACAGGGGCCACAGGCAGTACTGGGGCTCCCTCCAACATGGGGAGTGGGACACGTGGGGCATGCAGCCTGCAGGGTGCCCCAGCCGCTGCCCCCCGCCCCCTCCAGCTGAGGGGGAGGTGGCTGGTGGACTCCCTGCAGGCTGTGTGTAGTGTGCCCTGTCCCAGCTAGCCCTGCCTAGTGGGCAGCTAGCCCCACCCCTGGAAGCTAGCCCTGCCCTGGACACCCAAGCAACTAGCTACGCCACTTTCCTGTTCCAAATCGGTGTTTTCAACTTCTTGTCCCTTTGGGTAATTCCTTTCATCCCATGTGTCACATCTTGTTCGTTAAAGGGGCTGGCTGTTTCTGGAGCCCATTTCAAAGCTGATCTTTCCTGCTAATGCAAATCTTGAAATCACCTTTTTCTTTCCTTAGCTGTGGCGGATTATATCCAGTTAGGTTCTGTGTGACACCATGTGCAATTGGATGTCAAGATCATATCCCGCTTTTTGCTCAAATATAAATTGAGCTCCCAGGATGTGGACTTGGCCTTTTGGCCAGAGGCAATTCAGGTCAGGAAGATGACGAGCTCTGCGAAAGTCCAAATTGTACTGCAATATAGAAGAGCTGGGTTCAGAAGTTCAAAGCAGAATCCATGCCGCAAGATGACAGGGTGGAACTGCCAGAGCTAAGTGGAAAGCTGGTAGAGCAGAAACCAAACAAAGAGGGCAGGCAGACATAACATTTGCAGAGCTGTGGCACTAGTTCAAAAGCACAGTTGCTCCATTCCTTACAAATGTACCTTTTCCCATCTAAGGCCAATCTCAGGAGAAAATAGCTCTGCAAGTTGGGCTACTGCCGTTAATGCTACGAAAGCACCTCAGCCCATCAGTCCTGAAACAGCATAATAAAAATGTTTCCTTTTTTTCCAATTAGGCGAAGCGTGAATGTGGATAGTGTCATTATACAGTTTAGTCACTAGGTGGCCCTAGACTTAGCTGTAGCTTGAGAAGTCGGGAGTTGTCTGTGTCTGTTCTGTTCCTAAGAGAGACAATAATAAGGTTAAGGAATAGACCCTACACAAATTCAGAGTGGAGTCCCTAAGATGGTTAGATAGGACCTTGTATTCCTCCTCCCGGCGATTCCTGAAGCCAGGCTGGTGCCAGACATATTTCTGCTTTCCACTGAAGCACATCAGCAAAGCCAAGAGGGGGGTCCTGTCATCCCAGTACGTTTCCGAGCACAATTCAAAGTGTTGGTGCTGACCTTTAAAGCCCTAAACGGCCTCGGTCCTGTATACCTGAAGGAGCGTCTCCACCCCCATCGTTCTACCCGGACACTGAGGTCCAGCACCGAGGGCCTTCCGGCAGTTCCCTCACTGCGAGAAGCCAAGTTACAGGGAACCAGGCAGAGGGCCTTCTCAGTAGTGGCACCCGCCTTGTGAAACGCCCTCCCACCAGATGTCAAAGAGAACAACAACTACCAGACTTTTAGAAGACATCTGAAGGCAGCCCTGTTTAGGGAAGCTTTTAATGTTTGATGTATCATAGTATTTTAATATTCTTTTGGAAACCGCCCAGAGTGGCTGGGGAAGCCCAGTCAGATAGGCGGGGTATAAATAATATTTTATTACTATTATTATTATTATTATTATTACTATTATTATTATTATCTGGGCAGCCCAGGACCTCTACACACACTGCCCAGACTTGTGTTCCAGGGAGGTCCCTTCAGTGCGGCTAACAAACACACCATTGTCTCTCAAGACAAATGGATGCCAACATTCTGATTTGTTTGTGAGGTCCAGTGCATTTCCCCATTACTTTTCTTGTCACAAATAACTCTGATCTTTGGGGGGGGGGGTAAACGGGTTTCTTGCACTAGATCTCCTAAGAGATGATATTGTGCAACCTGAATTTGCCAGTATGTGATTGACTCCCTTCCAAAAATAGCAAAAGTGCTGCCTAATGTGTTTGCTGACGGAGTAGGGATTGGAATCTGTATCTCCCCTCCCCACCACTGCCCCAGTTGCCGCTGTGGTCTAAACCACCAAGTCTCTTGGGCTTGCTGATCAGAAGGTCGGCGGTTTGAATCCCCGCGACGGGGTGAGCTCCTGTTGCTCTGTCCCAGCTCCTGCCAACCTGGCAGTTCGAAAGCACACCAGTGCAAGTAGATAAATAGGTACCATTGCAGCAGGAAGGTAATTGACATTTCCATGCGCTCTGGTTTCTGTCATGGTGTCCCGTTGTGCCAAACGCTGTTTAGTCATGCAGGCCACATGACCCAGAAAGCTGTCTGTGGACAAACACCGGTTTCCTTGGCCTGAAAGTGAGATGAGTGCCACAACCCCATAGTTGCGGACTTAACCATTCAGGGGTCCTTTACCTTTTTACCTTTTTTTACCCCCATTTCACCACACTACAGCGGATTTTGATATATTTATTAGCGATCGTAAGTTCACAATTGAATGAAACGAGGACCCAAGGTTCCCATATCTCTCCATAATCAAGTCCCCATAATGCTTGTTTAAACCATGCTTGCATCCTTATCTGGGTGGGAGAATTGCTGGGGGTTTTTTATTCCACACCCCACACCCCAATATATTGAGTATTGCAGTTGTAGAGTGCTGTCTGCAGTGTTTGCTGCCATTGTCATCCTAGAGAGGAAGAGACAAGAGTAAGTTTCGCCAGTTGCGCTTTTCTAAGATTCCTACCTGCAAAGGTTCACGGTATACAAGCTAAACTTGGGGTATCCACATCAGCTCTCTCTGACCTAGAACCCTGAGCTCTTGGACCCACTTTGCTGAGGAAACAGAGCTGAACACTCAGCATGCAAAAGTTACCCCAGAGTTATGATGATATTATGTGCATTTTTTCCCCCCAGGAAGGGCTTGGAATCCCAGTGTTTGTGTTAGTGTAGTAATGAATACAAACTGCAGAGAGAGAACACAATCTATTTCTATTAGCAACAGTTGTCACAGCATGAATGTTATGCCAGGAGAATGATGATAAATTGCGTTGTTATTGTGGCGCCCGCCACAGAATGCCACTTTCTCTTCACATCACAGAGTTACGAAAGCAACTCTTCCAAGATCTCACAGTTAATGCCAGACTGTTGTCTCTCGGTTGGACTGCATTGCGTCTGAAAAAGGAGGGTGGACTTACATAGACATGTGTCTCAGCATTGGAATAAGTCAAGGGCACTCAACCACTCCTCACCAGGACCCAGCGCAAACAGTTGTGGATGTTTCAGGGTCATAGCTGCCCAACTTACAGATTTGAAAATAAGGGACCAGCAGCCTCGAAATAAGGGATCAGCAGCCAAAATAAGGGATTTTCCAGGCACAGGTATGTTCAACTTCTGAGCCAAAGGCAGAAAGCCCAGCCAGAAGCCAAACGAAGCCTCAAGCAGTGGTTCCCACAGCGCAGCAACCCGACAAAGGGGATGCAGCAAGGAAAACCACCGTCTCCTCTCCGCTGGGAAGCGTTGAGCAAAGGCGAGTCCCCAGGCAATGCGGCCAATTTGATCGGCACAAGGCATGCAAGCTCCATCCTCCAGTCGTTCTTAGACTCCTTATTGGGTGAGCAACGCAGCCAAGCAACACAGTTGGAGCCTCCCTCCTCCCTGGCCGGCAGGGAGAGGAGCTGCTTCCTTTGAAACCCGGGAAATTTAAGGGACATCATCAATAAGGGACAGCAGCAGGACACAGCGCTGGGATAAGGGAGTTTCCCACCAAATAAGGTTGACAGCTTTGTTCAGGGTACCACTGAAGCAGGGGTCCCCAAACTAAGGCCCGCGGGCCGGATAAGGCCTGAGGGACTCGTTTATCCGGCCCGCGGCAACCCCCGCCACCCGCTGCCGCTGCCCGCTCTTACCAACACTGTGCTGCATGGCTGCCCGGTTCCGGGTCGGAGGAGCACCGGAAATCACTTGTGCGCATGCGCAAGCGTTATTTCCGGTGCACATCCAGATTGGAGGAGGCCCGTGCACATGCGCACAAGCTATTTCCGGTGCTCCTCTGACCTGGAAGTGCGCTGGAAATAGCATGTATGCATGTATATGGGCATGTGCTCCCCTGCCCTCCGGCCTGCCGTGCAATCGGCGCAGGAGACACCGGCCTGACCCCTGACCCCTAAGTTTGCTGACCCCTGCAAGGGATGACAAGTTCTTGCTGCTCAGAGGGACTGTTCCAGCTCAGAATCTGTTGCTCAAAAAACCAGCGCAGGGGGCAGCCCTAGACATTTTGCTGCCTTAGGCGGAATAGCAGACAGCTCCCCAAGTCTAGTGTTCTCTGTTTAAATGATGAGTGAGTCAGAGGAGTTGAATAATAGGAAGTTTATTACAGAACTATGTACAACAGGTCTCCTATTCATTAGCTGTGTTCCCACTCTGCTCCTAGCTCCGCCTCCTGCTTGGGCATAACCTCGTAGACACAGGAGGTGCCCTTAAAGGTATACTCAACATCAACTTTGTTGGACTGGTCATGTTGTTCGGATGCCTGATTATTGTCTTCCAAAGCAACTACAGTGGTACCTCTAGTTACAAACTTAATTCGTTCCGGAGGTCCGTTCTTAACCTGAAACTGTTCTTAACTAAAGGCGTGCTTTCGCTAATGGGGCCTCTTGCTGCCACTGCGCTGCTGCTGCATGATTTCCATTCTCATCCTGGGGCAAAGTTCTCAACTTGAGGTAACTCTTCCAGGTTAGTGGAGTTTGTAACCTGAGGCGTTTGTAACTTGAGGTACCACTGTACTCTATTCCGAACTTAAAAATGGAAAGCGTCATGCTGGTGGTCAACAAAATAGGTTTAAAGACTCTCTCAAGGCAAATCTAAAAAATGTAGTACAGTGGTGCCCCGCAAGACGAATGCCTCGCAAGACGAAAAACTCGCTAGACGAAAGAGTTTTCCGTTTTTTGAGTCGTTCCGCAAGACGAATTTCCCTATGGGGTTGCTTCGCAAGACGAAACGTCTTGCGAGTTCTTGCGAGTTTGTTTCCTTTTTCTTAAAGCCGCTAAGCCGCTAAGCCGTTAATAGCCGCTAAGCCGCTAATAGCCGCTAAGCCACTAATAGCCGTGCTTCGCAAGACGAAAAAACCGCAAGACGAAGAGACTCGCGGAATGGATTAATTTCGTCTTGCGAGGCACCACTGTATAAACACAGACAACTGGGAAACGCTGGCCTGCGAGCGCTCCAATTGGAGAACAGCCTTTACCAAAGGTGTCATGGGCTTTGAAGACACTCAAACTCAGGACGGAAAGGAGAAACGTGCTAAGAGGAAGGCATGCTTGGCAAACCCTCACTGTGATCAACTCCCACCCGGAAACCTATGTCCCTACTGTGGAAGGATGTGTGGATCCAGAACTGGCCTCCACAGTCACTTACGGACTCATTTTTAAAACCGTGTTCACTGGTGATCTTTGCTTCTTCCAGTACATCGGCATTTGTTCGCCTGTCTTCCCAAGTGATGTGTAGAAAAGTTTTGGAGACACCATTGATGGAATCTTTCCATTACTTCAGAAATCACAAGTTAGCATAGCTGAATGCTGTGGATGAAGTAAATGTCTAATGTGGCTCCAAAGCCTTGCTTTGGATTTCTAAACCCTATTATGGGCAGGGCCTTTTCCATGATGGCCCCCCACCCTGCGAAATGCTCTTCCAAGTGAGATCATGCTGTGCTTTTCTAGGCATTTGGTTAAAACACAGCTGCTTGGAAACATCTGGCTGAATTTCCCCCTGCTTCTTCGCTTTAATACCGTTCCCTTTATAATTGGATTTTATGACATGATGCTTGTAGCGTGTTATTTGTTGTTTAGTCGTTTAGTCATGTCCGACTCTTCGTGACCCCCTGGACCAGAGCAGGAACGGAGAGGGGGAATGACCCTTAACTGGGAGCACCACATTTCTAGGAGATGGGTTCTTTGTTCTCTCACAGTGATTATTGTTGTTGTTGTTCAGTCGTTTAGTCGTGTCCGACTCTTCGTGACCCCCTGGACCAGAGCACGCCAGGCACTTCTGTCTTCCACTGCCTCCCGCAGTTTGGTCAAACTCATGCTGGTAGCTTCGAGAACACTATCCAACCATCTCGTCCTCTGTCGTCTCCTTCTCCTTGTGCCCTCCATCCTTCCCAACATCAGGGTCTTTTCCAGGGAGTCTTCTCTTCTCATGAGGTGGCCAAAGTATTGGAGCCTCAGCTTCAGGATCTGTCCTTCCAGTGAGCACTCAGGGCTGATTTCCTTAACAATGGAGAGGGTTGATCTTCTTGCAGTCCATGGGACTCCCAAGAGTCTCCTCCAGCACCATAATTCAAAAAGTGTGTTATTACAAAGCTACAAAATTATTTCAAAAAAAAGAGAGCAAGGTATATGCTTTTTCTTTCTTTCTTTCCTGACCAACTGACTGAATTGTGCTGCCTGGGAACAGTCTGGCCATTTGCCCTTCATGTGACCCAGACGGCCGATGGCACAAATCTCTTCTTTCCTCCGAT